CGGTGACAGTACACGGTGTAAAGCGGCGGTAAAGGCGGGTGGTATACGTGCGAATACACCGCGCTGCGTTACCTTCTCGCGATTATCGGCGCGCTTATCGTCGTCATGGCTCCGTTCGCGTGGACTTTTCGTGGGAACGTCAACCGGTTTTTCGTCGACGCGCAAATCCTGCAGTATCTTATTGTATTGGTCGGTCTGTTCAACTTCTCCTTGGGCCTGTACGAGGATCAAGTCGGCAAATTCGACTGGTAAATAATCGCTCGCCGCTTCGCAGCAGCAAACCTCTAAATAATGCAGAGCCGTTCGACGGTGCTCCGGGAATTATCGCGGAGTTCTTGTCGCACGGCGGAACTGATCAATTAATCGCAGCTCGCCGCTCGTCTCGTTTCAGGCGGCAGAACTATGTCGGCAAAATTAAATTCGCCAGCTTCGACACGGTGTCCACGGCGAAGAAGATCATCGTCGCCACCGAGGAGAACGTTATAGCCGCGCTTAATCTGAAATCGGGTAAATAAAGTGTCGTTTTATGACTCTTTGCCGTTTAAATATTTATTTCCGTCTGAAAATTACGCCGCAGCTTCTTCAATGCTTAAATAAATTGCCGTTTTTATTATTCATATTTTCTTTACCAATTCTGTGACATGCGATGATTAAGCATATCTCGTGCATGTTTACATTGTGAGCTAATTGTGGGATAATGGATCTTAAATGTAAATAGATAATTTGCTAAATTGATGCGAAAGCAAATGTATTAACGATATTTGCAATATAACAGGCCAGATACTATGGAGGCGAGTGTTAGAAAAAGGTTATGGCGGCCGCATCAGAACTCTAGGAGGTGTCGCGGATGGAGATTTGATATCCGTAAGCGGAGGTGTACCTGCCATTGTCCGCGCCTGGGATTTGGCAACTGGACATATACTTAACGAGTGGCCAATAGCTGAGCCAAATACCGACAGGTTTGTATAAAATAATTAATTATTTTTGCAACGTACTTCTCTATATACATGTGTAAAACTCTGTATGATAATGCTGACAAGAAATTTGATATGTTTGATGTAATAGATTCTAGTGACAGAGAAATATATGTGGTTTTTTGTGTTAATAAATTGTATAATACAAGATAGCGTTAAAATTTACAGAAGAAATATATTGAAGATAAAACGTAATATTGCTTTTACAGATATGAATCTCCATTTATATCGTTTTCTACATTGGGCTTGTATTCTGCTGACAGGTTTTTTTATTATTATTCAAAGCACAGTTGATTTTGTGTTCTGTACACCTTCATAATTCATGCAGTTATAAATTAAGTTAATTATTCAGTGTTTTGTATTTTAATTGACATAATTATCGTGTTAAATTATACACACACACATACACACACACATATGCATATGTGCTCAACAAGAAATAAAGAAAATTTATAAACTTTTTTTATGGAAAATTACTAGTTTATATAACATTTGTGCAAAATTAAGATGTTTTGATGTGTTGATATCTAATTATTCTTTTTGAAGCATATAATTATACAGCTTATTATTTTTCAGGATAAAAGATGTAAAATGGCATATCAAAGATGGAACATTGCATCACATACTACCTATTTATAATAGTGGAGTTGAAGTAACATCTTATGACACCAAGACTGGAGAAAAATTAAAGACTCGAAGAGTTTCTGCACCGTTCATAAGTCAAGAAACAGAGTAAGTAATCTCAGTTTAAGTCACTTTCTTCATTACATTAATCAATACTTAATGATTCTCTATTTGTCTTTTGTTTAGATGTGTTCTGGCAGCTCCATACTTGGCATGTTTAAAGGGGGACAGTTCTGTAGCTGTAGTGTTCTTAGTACATCTATTTGATAGTAATGCGCAGCCACAGTCGGTTACAATAAATGCAATATTTGGGGCTGGCACGCAAGGGCCATACAAATTAGAATCTGTACTCGGAGAAGAACCTGTAATTTCCATTAATGCGGATAACTACCAAAGAAAGCGTATTCTGGTTGTCGGAGAACCTCTGATTCCCATACAAAGAGATATCGCTGGTGACGCAACGCTTTATGTTGTTTCTGTTGATAATCAGAAAGTACTTTTGGAAACAGCATATAAGAATGGGGTAAGTACTTTCTTTTTCTATTTTTCTTTTACTCTTAAAAAAAATTCACAAATCACTCGTAAACATTGAAAAATTCTATTTGCAGAAAATAGAAATAGCAGCTTCAGACCTCTTATCGTCCACACCTCTACCTGATTTATCGGCTACTTTAGCTCATGCTTCTGTACAATCACCGACTATAATGGCCTCCGTTTGTCCACGTCAAACGAAAGGAGTAACGTGTCGCCATTTGTTATCCTCGCAAGATCATAGCACTGCATTATTGCAGCACAATAAATTAGTATGGGCGAGAGAGGAAGCACTCGCGAGTGTCGTGGCCGTCGAAATTATAGACTTGCCAATGTCGGACAGAGATCAAGCAATCGAAACGGAATTCGATCAGAAAGAGAGTAAGTAAGATAACCTCTTTAAGTTGAGCATAAAAAATCTCAAGCTGGGGAAAGTTATATTTCTCTATTTTCATATTTGGTTGAACATTTTCCATATATTTTACATGTGATTTCTGATATAACAACTTAACATAAATCTTACATGTTTTTTTTTTTTATTAATGATTAAAAGGATACGTCGGGAGTAGGATAATATATCGTCTTTGTCGAATAACAATTGCTGTAGTGTATCGAATGTGTGAAACGTACTCTTATCAGTGCTTCAAAAATATTACCGTTGTAATGTACTTCTTTCTAAGTATCAAGTTTTTTGTATAATGTTATTTCGAAGAATATCAGGAAGCTTGCTGTTTTAATTAATAACACTCTTGGGAAACGATATTGTTCATTGACACAATTTCAATTTCTGATAACACTCTATCTGTTACGTTATATTAATTAACTCTCTTTTGTGAATGGCTGCTGACAGGTATTGATGTAGACGGTTCATGTAAGTAGTAGTGCAGGAAGATTGATTTTAGTGCAGTACTTTGTCTTGCTACTTACAAACTTACATTTGCATGGTGTAACTTTATGTGCAGGCAGGCTAGAGATATTGAGAAACATAGGACACACACATATATATATATATATATATGTGTGTGTGTGTGTGTGCGTGTGATCATCTAACATATTTTCAATAATTACAAATCATTGATTGCGTTACTTTATTTGCATGATATATTGCAAGAAATAAAATGTTCACATTTGCTGCTATTGGTTTCTGATGTGTGAAAAATCTTTGAGATAAACGAGATGCAATAATTTCATTGACAATTTGTATGATAATCAAATGTGTAAAATGCATGAAGAGTTTTTCATGACTTTTTAACACTGTCGTACATGTAAAGTTATTAAAAGCCTTGCTACAAAAATTTTATAATGTAGTAATTGCTTAGTTATCATAATGCTGTTTCCTATTATTCCCTCGTCGCGTCGTCTAATCTTTTAAATCATCCAATTCAAAGATTCTAATAATACCATTATTCGGAGATATTTTCTAATTTTGCTGCATTGCTTTTAAACAGGGGACGTGCTAAGTATGTTTCTTCGAAGGATCACCTCGCAGATCAATCAGGCTAGGGCGTTCTTTCAAACGATATTGGATTTAGTGCCTCAACAATCCAATCAACGTATCGATTTGGTGCGAGATAAATTCGGCTTGCACAAGATGATTGTGGCAGTTACATCCGCTGGAAAGGTATGAGTCTGTATATAATCTAAAGAACACCTTGCAAATTCTTACATTTCATACTGTTTCTAGTTGTACGGTATTGAGACCAGAAAAGGTGAAATTATCTGGCAACTTAGATTGCCTAACATCCAAGGTTTCACCAAGCTATCCAATACGATGATTTTGTACGTGCAAAGAGGTAGCAGACATTTTCCTCATCCACCTCAATGTGCATTGTTAGCAGAAGACAAGGTACATACATTCATATATTTAATAATAATAGTTATATGACACTCGCTTACTTCATTGCTGTCTGCGATTTTAGGAAACCGGAGAGGGCGTTGTATATACTTTTAATCCGATTACCGGGCAGCCGCTGGATGGACTGGTGAAACTTGGATACAAAATAAAGCAGTCCATGCTGCTGCATGTAGCGACCGATGATTTCTTGCGTGGTATCCTCATTCTAGACGCACGGGATAAGGTTCACGTTTATCCCGATAGCGCTACCGCAGTCGCGGCTTCGCTCGGAAAAAGCACGTACCTCTTCACTGCGGATCAAGCGACGGGAATATTGTCCGGCTTCTCTCTTTCGTACAGCACGACACAGGTTTGTTATGTGCGATTATATATTTGCCGCATCGCTGTATCAATGGACACTGATTATTTCAATGACCAATGCAGGAACTAATCGCCCATAAAGTGTGGGAGTTACTACTGTCGCCGAGAAACCAAAGAATAACGCAAGTTGTAGCGAAAAATCCGATAGAACGTGTGCACTCTCAAGGAAGAGTTTTAAGTGACCGATCGGTGTTGTATAAGTACATTAATCCTAATTTAGTGGCCGTAGTGACAGAGGGCATTGGACATGCTCACAAACGTAAGAATATGCTTCCGGCAACCGTCGACACTTCTGACAGTCGATTGCAATTGATATTATTCTGCTTTCTTTTACAGATACGCTTAATTTGTATCTGTTAGATGTAGTGTCCGGAGCTATGATTTTCTCTATCACGCACAAAAGAGTACGCGGTCCAATCCATATTGTGCATTCGGAGAATTGGTTGGTGTACAGTTACTTTAATGAAAAAGGACGTAGAACGGAGATCGCTACGTTAGAACTCTATGAAGGCAAGATACAGAGTAATACCACAGGTAAACGCCATATTATTTAATAATTAATGATAAATAAATTCTATTATTTAACAATTTACAATGACTGTCGGACGTTTCAGTGTTCTCCTCCTTAGCAACAACCAAATTGCCAATTGTAGAAAGACAAGCTTTCATTTTCCCGGCGTCGATAGAGTACATGCAAGAAACGATCACTGAAAAGGGTATCACCAGCAAGCATATAATAGGTACGTGAAGTTTTAACTCGGTAATTGAAAGAAAAAAGAGAAACTCAATTGCGAATATATATTAAACGATATGTACACACTTAATTACGTCACTTTAATGTATTTTCAGTTGCTTTAGCTAACGGTGGAATATTAGAGTTGCCGTGGATGATGGTGGATCCACGACGGCCTACTAACCCTGAAATGCGAGAAGAGGGAGTGATACCGTACATGCCCGAAATTCCAATCCATATGGATGCTATTATTAATTATAATCAAAGCGTTTCTAGGGTTATGGGTATACATACTAGTCCCAGTGGCCTTGAAAGTACTTGTTTAGTTTTTGTACATGGTCTTGGTGAGTGTGTCACTGATTTATCTCTGATGCTTTTTGCCTGTGAACTGTTCCTTACACTAATTATTACATTTGCCTGTTGCAGACCTGTTTTACACAAGGGTGGCACCATCTAAAACATTCGATGTCCTAAAGGAGGATTTTGATTATTATCTTATTGTGATAGTACTTGCAGTGTTGTTGATCTCGTCGTACGTCACTAAAAAATTAGCATCCCAAAAAGCTCAAAAGCAAGCGTGGAAATGATGCCTCGCTTTTCTAGAACTGTGTAATATTTATGAATCTGTTCACTATAGGCAAGAATTTTTGCTAAAAATAACTTGTAAAATATACTGTTTTATAAATAGCTAATTTTAAAACAGAAAAGTAAACGCTAATACTTTGTTATCTTACCTAAAAACAAAAACAAAAAAAAATCTCTTAGCCTTAAATCCTAAATAAAAATGTAGAGTGTAAATTTTATCCTCTTAATGATACAGAACGCACACGTGCGATGGATAGAATTTTTCTGAATTTTTCAAAGTATGCTATTCAATGTATGAGAGTGGACCATGATCATTGATCATTAAAGTACATTGAAGAAACTGATGACGTGCTCAAAGTGCAATTGCTTCTCTGTTAATTGTACAGCAATTTCTGCAAAAAGGCACGGGATTTTGTTTGATTCTCATAAATATTCGATATGAATCAAAGCATTTCACAAATGAATTGGCAATTTATAAAAAAATACGAATAAAACTACGATCACAATGCATTTTATAGCAAGAACATTGAAATATTGATATAAATGATACTGCGTTGAGTAAAGAGGCAAATGTTTGGTAAAAAAAAGAAAATGTGTGACTGTGTCATTAATATGATTTGGAAATTATAATGATTTATAATTTCTCAGTTTTTGTGATTGCGAAATGTAATTTGTAATCTTGGAAGAGCAGTATATTTTGCATCTTTCTCCGTACCTGTAATTCTTTATAGCGTATTGTATGTAAAAGGTGTATGCACTTTGTACACTTGTATATTTCAAATTTCTTGCAGAGTATTCTAAGCTCAATTTTTTGCAAACAGATGAATTTTCTTAAGAATATCACTTATAATACTTGCAAGAAATACCATGTAAAGATATGTGATCTTTCAAAGAAGAGTTGATTGTAAAACACGAAATTTTCATTATCCTCCTTTAACGCGAAAAATTTAGTACTTTTGAATTTTTATTCATCATTAAACCAGGATTATGTGTATAATTTTAGAAATTAAAATACATATATACACATTCTATTAAAAAAACAGAAAATAATTAGCAAATCATTGAAGAAAGAGATCTTTCAAAATTTTCGTCTATTTATCTTTCAGTTATTTGCATTTACATGCATTTTCTTATTTGAAATAGTGATGCAACTGCCATACTACATAAATATTGCAAGAACTTTAAATTACATTAAATCACTATACATAAAATTGTGTAATTCCATTAATTTCAGCGTTAAAGTTTTAATATAATCTTCAAAATCAAATAAAAGTGATTTATTCATAAAATATCGAAAATAATATTAAATTTATATTGAGATATGCTAGGAATTCAATATTGTCATATATTAAAGTTGATATGAAACAAGAGAAATAATATGTAAATATCACTATAAACATACCTATATATATATATAAATATATATATATATATAGCACCATAATACGTTTTTGTTTTATAAAGTAATATATCGCTTTGTAGATAGTGAAGAAAAGTATAATTATACATAAGTTATTATAAAATGTGGAAAATAATTATATGAAACCTGTTAGAATTATATACAAATAAAAATACTGTCACAAAATTTTTTTATTATTCTCTAGCGTGTATAGGTATAAATCTATAGGCAAACTATTCGTATATGTATATGAATTTGAACAACTTACATATCTTTCACGTGATTTACATTTTATACCGCCTTAGAGATTCAATAAATAAATGGCATATTGTTGCTTACAGAGCTTTAATAGAATATTTGTATCATTCTCTTACATTACTTTTTAAGGCTTTATTACAGTTTTTCAAAAAATACTTATTTAACACTGGACATTCTTGTCTTGTATGTACATAATGATTTCCTGTACATTTTTGCGATATTTATTTGGCGGAGCAACATCTGAATCCTGAAAGAATAAATAAGAGTACATAACACGATTTTAATTCGTGCAAGTTGTAAAAATTATGTTTCAATGATTCAATTCTAACATACCAACACATTTTCTATCTTAAACGTTGCATCAGCTGCTATGCGTGCAACTTTTGTATTCCAGATACTGAGACATTTCGTCCATGCGATATCTCCATTGTAATCAGCAATATCTTTGTACAATTTTACACAGCACGCCTATATATCAATGAAATAATAAATAGCCAAAGACATTTATATAAGAGCACATATATATACTTCTTTTTACTCAACATTACCTGTAATGCAGCATGTTGAAGTGCACTAAGATACATATATGTATTGCTTAATATTTGCCATAAATCTTTCTCGCGAAGTTTCAAGAGCCGCGCGATTAATCCGAGCGTAGATAACAACTCGTGTTGTAATTTGTAGTTCTGCGTAAACTTGTACACATCCGTAGAACTTTTGTTAATGCTTTCCTTAGAAGACTCGTTCAGGAATTTAAACACCGACGGCAACACCTGTCTGTATGTGAAAAATTCATTACTTCGTCGACCTGCTTATATACACTTTGTAAAATGCGCGAAATATTTTACCGTAAGGTTCTGCTTTTGATAAAGTCATTCGACACGTTAGCGAGTACGTGCAAGAGTTGCCACGCACGATTAATCACAAGACAATTTTTATCGTCAAATCTGTCGGTCAGCGGATGCCATAGTTGATGCACGATAGGTAATAATTCGTCTTCCCATTCAACTAATAATAATAGGCCTTCTTGAAGCGTTTGCATCGCCATTAGTGATTTCTGTACATCCTTCGAAGGTAGGAAGTGCAAACAACGTTTCATAACTTCTACGATTATCACTATGTGGGTTGGTAACTTTTTGTCGACCTTATCTGAAACATGTAACGAGCAATATATACATATTTGATTGTGAGATTTATAAAGATAAATATAAGTTTTTATTACCCTCTGGAATTTTGCCACCGACGTAATCATCATTTGTCTCTTCTGATGGTTCAATATTCGATACATCTGCGCTTGATTCTATCTCGTCAAAATCGTCGTCGATTTTGTTATCAATTTTCTTTGCGTTGTAATATTCCAATAAAGAAAGAATAATTGTCTCCGAACAAGTATTCGTAACTCGTGCAGCTTCTTCCTTCGTCGCTTTAGTATCCTCCTTCTTCACCAATGCTTTTATACACACGATAAACGTGTAAAATATCTTTAAGAAGGAATAATCATCTTTTTGATAATAAGGAGTACTCAGCTGCCTGAGCACATCTTCCACAATTCCCTTTAAATGCGGTAAAAAATCCAGCTTGCTGTATTTCATAACAACTTCGATAACATCGAGTACGCCAGGATTGCGATCTACTTTGCGCAATTTCATTATAACGTGGTAGGAAAAATAATCTACGTTTGCACGTAACAAATCACCGATCGTTTTATGCTGCTGTGCTTCCGCGATGGTCTCAAGAGTGCGCACTCCGATATAACTAATTAATCCGTTTCCGCTACCTGAAATTATTCATCATTTTCATCAGTTTGTAAAAACATTCAAGCTCAAGTTCTAATAGCCAACGATATACCTGCTCTCTCAATAGTTAAATATAAGGTGTGCCGAAGAAATATATGTAGATAATCCTGTTGTAAATTCTGTGCTATGTGGCCTAAACATTCCGTCAGAAGGCAGCATTGTACTATATTACTCTGTGCCTGCAGCAAGGGAGTATTCTCATTCACTTCTATGGGCAAATTCCATACTTCCGGCGTTATACAGAAGTCCACGATTTCCTTGTACAAATCTGAGGTAGATGAATCTTTAACAGAACCTGAAACAATCGGAATTATAGAAAAGTTGATCGTAGTAATGTCCTGTTTTTGAGACAGAAATATAATGCGTCACCTAAAATCCAGTTAAATAATAAACTGAACTCCTTCCTGTATTGCGGTGCATCTGACATGAGCTCGAGAATATTATCGACTAGTATCCTAAAATCTCCTAACTCTCTGAGCAGCTTGCATATCGCAACAAGCTTTTCTTTACATAAGCTACTTTTAATAAATTTAAACTGTCTCCATGAATCCGATCCGTAAAAATACGCAGGATCGTCTAAATCTTTCACGTTTGTTGTCTGTAAAAGAGAGACGTTGCTGCAATCTAACACCATAATATATACAAGGGCTAAAAGCAATCTTCGTGTATGAGCCTGTGATCTCATGATATGAGGTAATCTTTGCTTTCCAAGTAATCTCAAATAGCCAGCAAATTGATTCAAAGCAGCTAATTGTTCGTTATCGTCTGAAAAATATAAAGACAAATGTGTTTTATTTTGAGTTTTACGTTTAACAGTCATAATATGAAAATAATTTTCTTAATAATCATAAGAAAAAAGGATTTTACCTGATCGTCTAACAATTGTAGGCAATCTTGTAAGCAAATTATAAAACTTATCTTCTAATAAATCCACTAGAGGTTTCATATTGTGATTCCGCATATAATTTTCACTTACAATATGCAGCACATTATGTGCTTTTTCACGAACTTCTACAGACTCATCCTCGGATAAAGAAAGCAGATAATCTATTAGTGTCATAATATTTGGTCTCATATTTCTGTAAAAATATATATATAAGTATAAATAAATATTTATTAATTTATACGTAACAAAAATGTAAAACACATAAATAAATAAATTACCTAGGACAATTTTTAAGTATAAGGCCGATGCTTTCAACCAGTTCTCTCCTGACTTTATAATGCGAATGACTCTTGATTTGGCCCAAAAGTTTTATACAAGCCCCAAGCTTAATAGCTGCTGCTTCTAACCATTCTTGATTTCTTGTAGCTCCTTTTAAATTGTCCTTTATATCACACTTTTGGTTAGATGTCGAAGTACGTGACGTATCAGTTGATGCATTGCAACCTTTTTTCATAAGGGTTTCTATGGATATAATGTCTTCTTCTTCTTTATCATGTACTATAAGAGATATGATTCTCCCCCAAGCTTGAATTGCCATCTATAATATCCAATTAGTGTATAAATTAAATGCATTGTTTATAAATAGCTTGTTTCTATTGAAAAACAATCATTGATATATATAAGAGTCGTGTTTTACCATTGTAACTTTGTGATTCTGAACTTCACTTTCCATTGCTACTTCTTGTAATCCACTGACAATACCAGGTAAAAACTTCATAACAGTATCCGCTGCCAGTTCTTGCAGAACAACATCAGATTTGTCTACGTGATCATCTATATGGCACAAAGCCATTATTGCATCTATTGCTGCTAGCCTAATAACAATTTGGATTAAAATACACACATGTTTCAAGATAATATTATATTACGAGACTAATATCCTTGATATATCTTGCTTAAATGTTTACCTTACAGCAGATGACTTTTCTGTTCTTGCAATTATTATGCAAAACAATATTCCTTGACCAAGTTTTAATTCATTTTCTTTTGTGTAAAGTTGCTCTATAACATCAGTAAAACTTTGATGGATAAGATCTTTGATACATAAAGCTATTACTTCCTTAAGCTCTTCATGAAACATAATTACTGTAAGATTAATAATTAAATGATTAAAAAAATCTATTTCAACAACTTCAATTCATTCAAAAAATCTCATTGATATATAATCCATTCTACATACCTTGATTAGGCTGACTTTTATCATAAATTTGTATTAATAGAGATACATAGATATCATTAAAATCTTTAAATTTTGTGATTCTTATCTTTTGTATGATAACTCTCAATGTCCTCACTAATTCTTCTTTTATACTTGTACTACATAAATATAAATATATAATAAAAAAACATGATAAATACAACAATGACATGATAAATTATAAAAAATATGTTATAAATTACCTTAAGCTATGAATTCGTAGGCAGGTAACAAAGGGAAATAACCAACAATTTAACAAATTTTGCAGGACTTCAGTAGGGGTGTCATTTGCTACCTCTGCAATTCTATATGCATGATCCTTACTTGGATTCTTTAGCAGATTGTCACAGCATAATTTTAACTTTAGAAAATTTTCTACATAAGCTTTCTCCATTATGAAAGTGTTAAAATGCAATGTATATTGTCACTTTCTTTTAAGCACACGTTCATTAAAATTACATTATGAATTTATAATATACAACGCAATATCATATTTTTAATCAATAATTCCAATCAATCATCGCTGCAATCATTTTTCACACAATAAGTTAATCATATTCACAACTGAATTAAAATTACTTCTATAAAAATTGATTTGTTATAAAGTTCATGAAAAAGTGGTGCAGTCAAATTGAGAGGTTATGCATCACATGCGCTCGTGGAACGGCCAGAAACGCTCTATTTTGACTGGAATTGAAAAATTGTTAATAGGAGCACATGATGTGCCGCAGGATCTCACTCGGAACAGTGCCATCTATTGATTAGCTAAAGCAACATTACGAATGCATTGATGGCAAGTGTACCGACTATTATGAGTGAGCTCCTATATCATCATGTGCTCCTGTTAACATTTTTTAAAAATCCCCGCTATAATGGTTTCTGGCCGTTTCAGCGGGTAATCTTAATTTTCCTACATGCTTATGTTTGCTTCTGGGCTACTTTTGTGACAGTGTTAGGATACTCGTGAAATACTTAAATAATTAAAACGTCTCTTTTTAAATTTTTGGAAAGTGTTTGTGTGTGTTGCAAAATTCAAAATGCCAATCGTTAAAGAAATTAAAAAACGACGTCTTCTTTAGGACGTTTTTAGGACCTTATATATATCATATATACATATTATATATGTATAATATTATATATTAGTTTTAGGCTCTTTTCGAAGCGTACGTGGCTTGCGCATGTAACCCTCTCTCGTGCTGCTTGTTTTACGTCTCAAATCTGGCGTCACTGGGTTCCGCGAAAGTTCCACATAAATGCACAGTTACAAGTGATATAAATATAAACATAAATTTTAAAATATTTATATATTGTATATCTTGTTTTTGCTCAAAGTTGTGTATAATGGGAAATTCTTATCGAGTAAAACGCTTTGCATGAATTAAAAAAAACTTGCATTACTGACAAATTAGTAATATTTGAAAACTTCTAAAAGAGGTTACTCGATCTGACATTTAAAAAAATAAAATTTCGAATATTATTGCGAGCATAGGAAATAAAAATGCCGATTTCGGCTCTAGATGTAAGAACAGCAAAGCTAATTACTACGACGCAGATAATAACTTCTGTGTATGCTGTGGTTAAGGAATTAATAGAGAATGCACTTGATGCTGGTGCAGATAACGTCGAAATAAACCTTGTATGTAATATAGTCAATTTTTACATATCTACATGATATACCTTTAAATTAATATTTACATCTTTTTTCTTTATTTTCAGATAGATAATGGTACATCTTTAATAGAAATAAAGGACAATGGTTACGGTATATCCAAAGAAGATGCACCTTATATGGGAATAGCTTCTTATACATCTAAAATATCAAATTTTGAAGATCTAGGTAACATTTGTATATGCAATTTATAATACTGTATCAGATATTTATTTTTTAAGCTGTAGTCTAAAATAACAGTAGAATCAATTCTTACGCCTCTATTATTATTTACAGATACATTACAAACATTTGGATTCAGAGGAGAAGCACTTAGTGCTTTGTGTGCAGTGTCAGAAGTAGTTATTATAACAAAAACAGAAGAAGATGCTGTTGGAACTTTATACACAATGAATCAGGATGGACAAGTTGTGAAATATGAATCTTGTCACAGGAGTACTGGTGAACATTTGATTCTTGAATTTTCCTCATATATATAATATCATATTGATTATAATTACATTTTTAAGAGATATTGATTTATTAGGGACCACTGTACAAGCAAGAAATTTATTTAAGCAAGTACCTGTAAGAAGACAAATAATCACCAATACAAAAACAGCTAATCAAACTATTAAATTATTAGAGACTCTAATACAATGTTTTGGGATATGTAAGCCAAATATACGAATTCAGTTCAGAGTAAATAACAACCTTGTATTTACAAAACCAAGTCTAAATAATATTAAAGAAGCTGCGAATCATGTACTTGGTAGAAAAATCATGTCTAATATGGAATGGGTTGAACCCATGGATACTGCAGTAGGTATACTGTTGGATAATATAGAAAATTGTTGACATGTAATTGATACTTGTAATTAGCAACTTCTATATAATTAATATTTTGATGATTTTTCAGTTTACTTTGCAACTAATGTTGCCATCAAAGAAGGTACAGGATTTGTCAGAAATTTCTCATCCTGATTTACATTACATTTTTGTAAATAATAGACCAATTAAACATAAGGATCTTGAAAAGGTATGTTCTGTTTCTACAAAACATTTGCTATCAAATGTTACTGATATGTTATTCAAAATTAGAAGTAAAAGTTAAATTTTCTTTTTACATATGTTTTACAAACATTAATTTAACCCACAGTATATGAAGATACTAAAAATTTATATTTTCTATGCATATAGCTAGTAAATGGATTAATATTAGAATATTTTGAGCAAGAGTCACGTAGAAGAAAAATTGTATTTCTTGTATACATTATTTTGGAGCCAATGGATATTGATGTTAATTTAGAACCAAATAAAACTATAATTCTCTTTAAAGATCAGGTAAGATTAAATAATATAATACTGTAACTAACATTAGATTTTATATTAAGTACATGTATTAATATTTTCATAAAGCACTTAATGCAATAATTGTAATGTGAATTACTGCAGACATTTTACATGAATTTTAATTCTTATTTCATAGTTTTAATTTTGTAGAGATATAAACTATATAGACACATTATATAATTGATATTTGTAGAATAAAGTCTTTGATACAATTGAAAAATGCATAAGAAAATTTTATGGACTTAAATCTATGGAAATTACTGAACAAGCCATATCACACGACACGTCTGCTTGTTATGAAGATTATACTCTCAATTTGAATGAGAATATTACTGACACTAACAATGAATGTCCTGCATCTAAAAAACGAAAAATACATGCTCAAGAGAAAGTGATTCAAGATGTCCAAGAGGAGCCAGTGCTTATTAATCGCTATGATGCTGTCACAAATAGATGTGAATATTTTCCTCAAGACGAACAACAGAATTTAATTCAAGATCAGCAACATCAGCACAATGATGAATCGATTCTAACAGTTCATATAGAATCACCGAATTTAAGTGAATCCGATTCAAATGATAGTATTTCTGCAATTTCGTCGAATATTAAGATGTTAGTATATGTTTTCGATATCTAAATTCTAATATTCACTTAAGTCTCAGTCAATATTTTAATCCCGTCCAAAAACTACGAATATCTATGTAAACATTAGCGATATTACAGGGAAGAGGAAGGTGAAACTTTGAGTCAGTTACCTGTAGTAGACCTTGGTGAAGATTTTGACTTCACAGAAGTGACACGAAACTGTGACACTTCAATGAATGAAAACGAGAATAAACTAAATGAGAATCGAGAAAAGAAACAAGTTTCACTAGAGGCATGGAGTAAAGGACACGTCACTGGTCTGAAGGTAAAATTTTTTACGATTTTATAACATTAATATTAATAATTTTTTAATTATAATATCACAAAATTTTATTACATCTAACATTATTGGCGAATACGATAGGGCGGTACAGATATAACATCTGATGTTGCTATTGAGAGGCAATTAAGTGGTGATTTAAACAGTAAAACTAATACGAGACTGACACTAGGTAAAGCACATGTAGATCGCAAAGAGCTTAAATTTCTAAAACACGTTAGATTGCAAGGTATGTGTAACAAATATTCAATTACTCGTTTATAATAGAAATCAAAAAGCAAAAGTTCTTTTACTTTTTTTGGCTTTTTGTAAAAACAGATCTGCCTAAAATTGACATTGAAAATTATGATGATAATAATAACTATCTTGCATTTAGTTTCGAGAGAAAATCCTACACTAACAGCAGCGCAAACTGCAAAAAAGATTACCGAATTCTGGAAGCAATTATCGTCTGAAGAACGTGGTTATTATCGAGATGTAGCGCAGGAAGAAGAAGAAAAACATCAAGTGTGTAAGAAAGCTGAGGAAAGAGGCGAGGCAAATAAAGCAGGCACGGAGAATAATAAGAGCAGACTCTTACAACTATTTGAAAAAATGAAGAACACTAAAAATGAGAATAAAGAGAAATTAAATATGAGAACGATAGTACCTTGGATTATTGACAGAACTAAAATAATTACAAGGTTGACTTTTGAACGATAATATGAAATTATTTATCTTATTTAATGATGTATTGTAATAATTATTATTATTTTACAGAATTGATTTTGAAAATGGGCATATAATAGGTCGATTAACGTCTAACTTGTGGGTGGCTACAATTTGTGAACAAATATGGGTCGTAGATATTACTGGTTTGATCAAAGGCTTAAAAGTTCCCAATATTGATCCAGATGAGGTATTCTATTAAACATTCGTTTTTTTTTGTAATTGTACTATGTAGAAGTGTGAAATATATGCTTTGTTGCTGTTATTGTAAACATTGTTGTAGATTGATGCCAAAAGAATCGAACAGCTTCTCAAACAGTGGTTATTGGAACGAGATGATATGTCAGTGATGTATTCTGTACACGAATTTACAAAAAAAGTATAGATATAATATAATTGATGTAAAATATGTTATTTTTTAAGCGGTTGAACAAACAATTTTATAATTTCTGTCACATTTTATGTCTAATATGTTTAATACATGTGATAAACTGAATTGTATTAAAATTTATTTTTATTTAAAACATAATGTGTATAATTATAAAATTATAACAATATTAAAAATGATACTAAAAATTATAAAATTATTTTGGAAGCTAAAACTACGATTAAAGGATTGTGAGTTTTTAACTTTTTTAACTTTTTTGGGAACATAGTATTATGATTGATCGATTGCTGTTTAATATTTGTATGGTATTAAAAATAATAAATTTTTTGTGAGAAATTAAAAAAATATTTTAAATTACGCGCGCGTACGATTTATACAAGTAGTGTCTTTTTAGTTACTAGTGATTTTTTCTAGAATTGTTAGGATTGCTAGTATCGTTGATGCTTCCCAGGCATCGATCATGTAATTTTTCCCTAAAAGAGAAAAATTAAAACTTTTATGAGAATTTGACCATTTTTTCGTTGAATTTACGTAAAATTATCATTTTCCAAGCTTATCTATGACAAGCCTTCCAATATAATCAAGTCTAAAGAAATAATCATAAAAAAGTATACAAAACTAATACTATTTAAACATCAATGAAGTTTTTAAATATTTTTTTTATTATTTATTATAATAATTTTTATTGTACTAGTTACTATATATATACAAGATATTGGGCGGTATTCATAGTCCGTTCTTATATTCAAAATTGTCTTAAGCACGGACTTATATTCGCTCTCTTCGTCACACATAGATTGTGTCTGACGAAGAGAGCAAATATAAGTTTGTGCTTAAGACGATCTTGAATATAAGAACGGACTATGAATACCGGCCATAATTAGACTTTAGTGTGTTATGTAGCTCATTGGATTATGCAAGTAATGTGAATATTCTTTTACATTTTGTGACTATAGTTTCCGGGGTGTCGATTGTGTATCATGCAATGTAATGAAAATTACAAAAGTAGCAAATTTACTAAAGTAGCAAATTTACTAAAGTATCTGTGATCTTATTGGTCCACACCTAGTAAATTTGCTCACTTCACTGAAGTGACTTCAGTAATTTTCACTACAATGCATGATACAGAATCGACCCCCAGATGGCGATAGAATTGCTATTTCCGGTATTTTGGTACAATATACGGTTTTCATTGACGAACCATTTTCTCTACCTTTCTACCTCGTCTTCCTGTTCTAGATTCCTCTTCCATTTTTGTTTAGACCGCCGTTCGGGTTGGATTCGTTGTATAATTTTCGACTCTTGGCATAATGGTAAGCAAATTTTTTTTCTTAAGATATGATTTATTCGATAAGTTAAACTAGAATATACATGAATCATTTATCGGAAACCAACAGAAAAGCAAGATGTATGTTTTACGGAAAGATTAATTTGGTCGCCGCGTGGCAGATAATTTTTTATGGAGAAATTTATACATTTTTTTTATACAAGTTTTAATATTATTTGCTTCTTTTCAAAGAATATATTTTGCTCTAAATTATTGAAACATTTTTTGTTATATGAGAGAGGATTCTTGATAAATATCTTTATATATTAGCAAAATCAATATGTAAGGTTATGAATATAATCTTGATATATTTATTTCAATTGAACTAAACTGCATCAATCGCAAATGCTAAATAATCCGTAAATTTCATTACATGATGAAAACTACCAGCTCACTTTGATAAAAGTATGAGAAGACTTTATTGACGTTCTGAGTGTTGTTGATAAATAACATTATTATATCTATTCTTATTCTAAAGTTAACGATAATATGTTCTTTTGTGTAGGGTTTCGTCAAGGTAGTTAAAAATAAGCAGTACTTTAAGCGATATCAAGTTAAATTCAAGAGGCGTCGTGAAGGAAAAACTGATTACTATGCTCGCAAGAGATTAACTATTCAGGACAAGAACAAGTATAATACACCTAAATATAGGTTGATTGTACGTCTGTCCAATAAGGACATTACGTGCCAGGTAAATTGAACAATATGTTTAATTTCATATATTAAATTTGTATAAAAAATCAACAATTATAATAATTAACATTACATGTTTTTTCTTAAGGTTGCCTATTCGAGAATTGAAGGGGACAGAATCGTATGTGCTGCTTACAGCCATGAGCTTCCCAAATATGGTGTTAAAGTTGGCCTTACCAACTACGCATCTGCTTACTGCACCGGCTTGCTTTTGGCCAGAAGAGTAAGTTATCTCTTTTCCCTTTTTTTTTTTTCCAGAAACATATCTTGATGTATTATTAACATGATGAAACACCTAGCTCACCGATGTTACACTGATGAGAACACAACTGTTCCCTGTGTTTATACTGATTAATAAAACTATCAAAAATGCAAATGAAATTATATCAATCAATTGTTAAGATTAATTTTATGTTAATTTTTATAGCTTCTTAAGAAATTGGGATTGGATACTTTATACACTGGTACCACTGAAGTGACCGGTGATGAGTATAACGTTGAGGAATTAGATGACGGTCCAGGTGCCTTCAGATGTTATCTAGACACAGGATTAATGCGTACCACAACAGGCGCTCGTGTTTTTGGTGCCATGAAAGGTGCAGTTGATGGCGGTCTTAATATTCCTCACAGGTAAAAAGATTCACAGATTTAATTTTATTTTATATTCGTCTAGTTTTAACTATTCATTTTTTGCTGTTGATAAAATATAGAATAAAAAAATGGTATCAATATTTTACGATTATTTGGTAGAATAAACAATTTCATAAAACACGCTCGCTATTTTCAATTTATTATTTTTGTGTTTTATAATATAAATTTTATATAGATGTAAAAATTATTATAAAATGTCTTTGACAACTCGACTCGCAAATTATTGTACGTTTAGTCGTCACCTTGTATTTTCTTTTGTTTTGCAGCACCAAGAGATTCCCTGGTTATGACAGCGAAACGAAGGCATTCAATGCAGATGTGCACAGACAACACATATTTGGCCAACATGTCGCAAACTACATGAGAACCTTGGAAGAGGAAGATGATGAGGCTTTCAAGAGACAGTTCTCGCAATACATTAAGCACGGCATCTCTGCGAATGATGTAAGCAACTGCTGAGTACAATACGTATATCATCTTAAACGTCCAACTTATAATTGCTACATAGATTATTTAAATCTATGCAGCGTCGCAGTTGGACAACAGCAATTGGGTTTTTTTTTATACATAAATGCAGGCATTAATGCATTTATCAAAATTAAACCTTACACTACTATTAAATAAGTACGTCGACGGGTGTTGGTACAATGTGAATATTCCTCTTAATAGATCGAGAACATCTACAAGAAAGCTCACGAGGCGATCCGGACTGATCCAGAACGTAAGAAGGTCACGAAGGAGATTCAACCTATCAAGAAAAGATGGAACCGTGCGAAATTGTCGTTGTCGGAGAGGAAGAACCGTGTGGCTCAGAAGAAAGCCTCGTTCCTTCTAACTTTGGAGGAAGCAGAAGTGTAACTTTATTCTGGGGTTTTTCTTCAATGTATACACAATTCAGTGTATATAATCAAGAATAAAGAATCTTGATAAATTAAATTACGAGTATGTAATTGTAAATATTTTCTTACACATTTTTAATTTTAATAAATTATCATGAGAGTACAAATTGACTTCATAATGAAAAATTTTATTAAACGCAAAACTCACGCAATTTTTGGTATCAAAACTTGACTCTGGTTTTGTATACATTTTGTTTCTTCATAAATTCATTATTGAATATAACGAGAATGCCATTACACGAGAGCTAACAAATCAATCTTGCGTATCTTGTGTTAAGCTTCTGGTTAAGGGTATAGTTTTTACTTTCCCTCTCGCTGTTAAATGACAAATGAATTATTTTATATCCTAATTTTTAATATATACAATCTAAAGCTAAATATGTTAAAGAATGCTTTATATTGCACATGTGTTATTTAAATCATCGATGATATTTTTCTATTATCATTGACATTATGTATAGTAAGATTTGACATTGGAAAATTCAGTTACTTTCATCATTTTTATGTAAATTTTTCATAACGAAAATAAGAGACACGTATCTCTATTATACAAGATTTAGTTCAATATCAAGTCAGGCATTAGGTACTGCAACATATTGATTTATAATTAGATATAGTTAAATCACATATTTATTTAAGATAAGAAATCGGTTTGAATACTTTCTGCATGGTTCTAACGAAAAAGAGACAATCTACGAGAACCGGGTAACCGACCTTGCGCGTCGATCAAGCCGTTTCGAATGTCTGCCATAGAAGGTATCATCTTTACTTCGCCGCGTGCCGCAACGCAAGGTGGCGATTTCAACAAACGTCGCGCTACCCTGTTGATGTCATCCTTCGATATCGCATCTGCAAGTATCAAATTTTTTTCCAAATGTTATTGGAAAACTGAAACTTCGTAATTTTTACGAAATTGCAAAAGGCTTACCAATGGCTTGTATGAAGTATTCTGGCCGTTTCCTAGAACCAGTCGCCAACACTTGTCTACCAATATCTTCAAATACAACCGGCCGTTGTTCCAGATTCATAAGTAACATTGACTGCAATTGCTTTTTTGCTCTCTATAAAAAGAATTTCACAACATAATTATTTTCATTCCGATGTGTTTTCTTGTTTTCTAATTTTTTATCTTTACTATTTTTCTATATTTCGATTCATGACAATAGTATGATTGTATAAAGCGCGATGTGAATGCGGTATTAATAGCTAATTAAAAAATACGAAAAGTATACCGCTAATTCACAATCTGAGACTCCGCTTGTCATGGCGACCATTTCATGCACAATTACTTCTACCATATCCTTCACATGAGATGGCGTGCAAGAAGCATGAATACAAAACAGACCAGTGTCTATATAAGCGTGATTATACGCAGTTGCACTGTACAGCCAGTGATACCTGCAACATCAAATATCGAAAAGTTCAATGTAAGTCTAATTATGTCTATTACAAATATTAACTCTCTTATCTCATTCTAAACTTTTTGTCATAAAGATCGTAGAGAACAAAAGATATAAAAAAGTACAGGACGACTATTTTATTTGATATTCCTTTATCTTACACTTGAATAGGAAATGTAAAGGTATAAAGTTGTCTTACCTATTCAACACATTAGTGTACAAACGCGTGTACATGCCTTTACCAGGACCGCCTGCACTAAAACTGCCGCCGCCGCCCATCATCATATTTAACACACACATAGCAACAAAGTCTGGATCTTGATGAGAACAGCCCTCCAAACCTATAACAACATGCGACAATTCGGGCAAGCCACTAGGCCCAGCGTAAATTGGCACGTTGCATTCTTCCTGTTGAAAATTGCGTGTAAAAAGATTTTAATTTTTTCAGTTTGATTATAAAAACAAAATTTTCAATATACGATATATGAATGATGGTACCAAATTGCATCCTCCAATGTATTGTGCGATAGACCTGTCGACAGTATTTTCGTTATCTGGTAGAATGAGATCACTCTGTTCCTCCCAGATGGGTTTTTGATCTACAAAGTATCTGTATATCAAAGAAAATATTATTGTTACATACATGTAGATGAGAAAAGATTTGGAAAATATCATTACGTCATACATTGTAAAAATCATGTGTTTTCAAAATAAGAATGGCATCAAACTTATTTTGGAAAATGATTGAATTATTTTTAGGTTTATTGATTGAGAATATTTATGGTTATTACTTGGTAACGGCTTGGACCAAATCGTCATGTTCAACACCAACTCCAGCAACCACCATTCTATCCGGTACGTAGTGATACTTGAGATATGTGTGCAAAACTTTTCTATCAATCTTTTCAATGTTTTCTTGTGGACAGATTTTTGGTAGACCTAATGTGTTGAGTTTATACGCAGCCTATTAATGTAGAATTTTTTTAAGAATGCATAATTGTAATTTTAGTAAAAGCACGTATAGAACATTCATTATTTGAAACTTACAGCATGAATCATGTCCATTAATATGGGCTCTTGTTCTGGCCTGGTGTGTAATGACTCTAATTCGAAGTGCACTGTTTGTCTGGCAATTTGTACCTAGAAATAATTTAACTTGAATTTATTTCACGTGTATCACATATGCACAAATGTTTTAAAATACATTTGTATGCAAATAACAATATACAAAAAAAGATTGTTATATATTACACACCTCTTCTTCTGTAATTTGAGGTCTTAAGACAATGTCACCTAGGACTTGTGTCACTATATCCAAACCACGACGTTCCGCTGATGCTGCATAGACAAATGTATCCCGAGATGCTTGGCAGTCACATATACCGCCATGTTTTTCTAAAGCCAGCATTATCTTGTCTTTGCTGTCATACGTGTTTGTAGACTGTAAAAATTAGTATAATATAGTTTTGTATTTTGTATATTAATTATATTGATTGGAAAACACAGGTCTCTGTTACTCATTTATTATATGCTACTATTTTAGCAGTAATTTAATGAAAGATGCTTACACCAAACGCTAACTTTTCAAGAAAGTGCGAGATACCATTTGGATATGTTACCTCATATCGTGGACCTGAATCAATAAGAACTGAAAATAAAGTTAATAGTTAGCAAATATATTCAATATAAATGTATCTGATATGATATTCAAATTGTATTTCTTAATTTAACTCACCACCTATAGTACAAAATTGTCCAAACCGATTTTCAGATGCAACTTTTAAGCCATTTGGTAAAACTGTAATTTGTGTTATTTGATGCTCTTCCTTTGCAGTAGAGTAAATAGGTTTTGGTAAATTTGGGACAGGTTCTGTTAACGGTGGAAATGATGTAACGGTCTCTTTCAGATCTTTTAAATCAGGAGGTATTCTTTGCGAAGAGAAGTTATACCTTTGCCAGACATTAAAATATTTTGTGTGGGTAGAACTGAAAAATTGAAGATTGATGCACAATACAAACTCTCCTGGAGAAATAGATATGTGATGAATATATTAAATATTTATATATGTATGATGAAATTAGGGTTATTTAAATTTACAGGATATCACGAATTATTCGATGTCACATTGTCGTAATTACCTTCTTTTAATCGCCACAATTAACGGCTTTTGCGACACTCTTGAAAACATGTTGTACATTTTGTCAACACGAAAAAAATTTATAACATGCAGACGTAACCTATATCTTTATTGAAAATTACAAAAATATATTTGAAGTGTGCGTCTACAGACAGGTATATTAAAAAAAATTCAATTTTTATACAACGGACACACGAATGAGTTTATTCGAGTACATTCGACAATATTTCACGGATAAAGTTTGAATAAAATTTTAACATTAGGTTAGATTATAGACTCCCAAGACTGAATCGCTGAATGTATACCATAGTTCATGGACGTAGGAATATAGCATGGAATATAGGGACGGAGCGTGTCGGTATCTCAATTTGTAAACTGAATATCACGTTGTGTTGCGTAACATTATTCGAGTGTTGCTTTATTCGATATTATTCATCAATTAATCTGAAAGGTAATTTCTTGCATTAGCACAGTAATTCCAACTGTTTTTTTTTTTTAAATTATGTGATAACAGAAATATATATATATTTTTCCAATAGCTCGTTGACACGCATTGTTTGCTATTATAACCTTGCTGCGATATGACGTCTCTTGTCAACGAAGGAAACGAGGTTCTCCTTGTAGCAGCAAATGAAGTGTTGTCGGAGAATATTGCAGATTTTATTGCTGCGATTAAGCAACGCATAGGAAATATTGGCAATTTACAAACTACGAATTTGTCGAATCTAAAAAAGGGTAAGTATATGTTTTATCTGATGTGATTTCTTTATTATAAATTTATTATGTTAGAATTTAATAACGTATAGTTATTGCAAATTTTTTTATAAATAACGAAAGATATATATATACATTTCTATTATTTCAGAAAATCATAATGTATCTAGTTTTAATGTCATCATCGTCATCTTCAAAGAACCATGCACAAACGATGAATTCTTAATAGAGGCATTGAGAATTCTAAAACCCAATGGTTCACTACTTATTTATGAACCACTACAAGCAGAGAGGAAACTGGATACAGTACTTACTCATTCTGAAAGAATATCCAAACTAAAGTTATCAGGTTTCACAGTAAAAGATGTAGAACAGAAGAAATTGGATGAAGATTTAGAAAGTGAAAATCTTTTGTCGAAAGTGTATAATAATACAGAAAAAATTTATGAAGTATTAGCGAATAAACCATCATTTGAGGTATGCTAATTTTTTCTTTCTATATATTTATATTTATTATGTTTATAAAAAAATATATTTAATATTACACACACACATATATATATATGTGTTTTTTTATCATTTAGGTAGGTTCTAGTGTACCCCTTTTATTTGCGAAAAAAGAAACTAATGTGTGGAAGTTAGACGATCCAGTAGAAGAAGATTTAATAGACGAAGATGAGCTTTTAGATGAATCCGATTTCATGAAGCCAGATGTTTCTTCCCTAAAAGGTGAGGTCAACATACAATTAGAAATTAAATACATACGTATAATTTTAATAACATACGATGGATTCGTGGATTTGCATTAAAAAAAATTATTTTTTTCAGTTTGTAGCACAACGGGTAAACGAAAAGCATGTAAGGATTGTTCATGCGGTCTTGCGGAAGAATTAAGTGGTAAAACTCCACAAGAAAATACCGTTAAATCTTCTTGTGGAAGTGTAAGTCTCAACTTTAATCAAAATTTGCATACGCATATTATGTTATATAAATTTCAATTTCAAATCATTTCAAATTTAATTAATTAATTGTCCTTTTTTTTCTAGTGTTACCTTGGAGATGCATTCAGATGTGCCAGTTGCCCTTACCTTGGAATGCCTGCCTTTAAACCCGGAGAGAAGATTATTTTATCTGAAACTCAGTTAATCGATTCCTGAACTTTGTGTTTTTTTTTTTCGTCAGCGATATATACAACATTGGCCAAAATTATTGGGCATCCTCATAATCATTATACTGTACTGAATCTAATACCAAGAAAGACTTCTATTGTTGTTTATTAGAGTGTTCATTGTGAAGTTGTTAGAGCTAAGAAATGTTTTATTTCTTTCAAAAAATAAATGTTACATTGGAAAAAGTATTTTAATAGGGGGCTTAATAATTTTAGCCACGACTGTATGTACGATATAATTTAATAGCAATGAACATACATTATTTTGATTCGCATGAAAAATTGCACTGTTTCTTCAAAATACTATTTTATTAACTTTATTCCAATTACTTTCTTTTCTATACTTGCGTAACTGAAAAAAGATGTAATAATTATTCTTAAAATAAAGACGTACTTAAATTATAATTCGAATCTTTTTATCGCCCTGTGCAAGAAGATAAATATAACAATGTAGCAGTGGTAAGAGATAATCCATTTTATTCCACTTTTATCTGTATACAATAGCAACCAGCATTATAACTATTATAAAGAGATGTAAAGTATGCAATATGTTTTTCGAAATTGATCAGAGGCTTCGAAGCGTCTGTTTTAATTACAAGTTAAGTACAACATATACAAATGTAAGTACACATATTTAAGATAAATTCTCGAACTTCTACACGGATAAAAGATTTCATTCGAAGCGGTAGATTAACGCTTTTGCATAAAAATAGTCTTAAAATATCGTTCGATACACGAACCACGAATTCAAGAAAAGTACGTAACAAACTTTCACGATCCTGATTTACCCTGATCACTTAAACCCTGATGTATAATATATATATAAAATAGTACCAACATGTATTGCATACTGTGCACCGTCATGGCGTTATTTTTTTTTTTTATAGGAATATAACCCTTTCACCATAAATCCACTATCCCGTCTCTGGGGATGAGTGTGCGGGAGAGGGCTATTTTCCAAACACAATGATACGTAATCGCGCAACTTTCATATATACATATATATACATATATATTTAATGTGTATATATATATTTAGTTGGGCAATGTCGCAAATATATCTTTCTAGTATAAAATTATACATTAGATTTAAAAAGCAAAGGTCGCAGTTCAAGTAGCATCTATCGTATACAGGAACAGAAAAAAGCATCGTCATGTATTGCGAATGATTTCTTTTTTTTTTTTGTCACGACGACAGGAACATCATTCCGTATTATTAAGATTAACATAAACCCTATGAACAAAGAATTAATGAATAACATGATAATCATTGGTTTGCCACTTTACGATGCGATTATAATTAAAAAATATATATATATATGTAAATGAAGAGTTTTAAAACAAAGTTTGCCTACGTATGGTTAATGCAACACCGCCAACCAAGAAGTACAAGTCTTGGCTCGACGTGATAAATCTTGCAAACCAATAATTGTACTCTGTCTCGTGTTATTACTACTATTGAAAACAACTTTGGTGTATGTAAAAGTTATACGCTTTAAGTAACTGCTGGCCAGTGTCGATATTTCCTCAAGTGTGGCCGTTGAGAGAAACAAAGCTTTTGACACCATTTCTCTTCGAAAAGTTTACAGCAATGAAAGCAATTTTAGGCATAACTACGTTATTTATCCTGGCGCGTGTTCTCGCACGCGCGCTAATCGCCCCAATTAAAACGTATATATTCTAAATAAAAGTTAATAAGCAATTTCGCTCTCGCGATGGAATAAAAGTGGAAGGAAAGAAGACTTCGAGAAGTTGGCCTCGCGTCGCGACCTATCGATACGGAACAAAAGTTTTCGGAGTTTCGGAGTGTCGCTCTGCTATTCTCAAATGATATTATACGGAAACTGACAGCTTTAAGAAGTAGAGAAACCAAGATTACGTACATTATCGTATATAAATACGTCGAAAACTTCTGACAAAGTTTTATAAATCTGCAGTGTTATTTGTCACTGGGGTATCCGATCGTTCATCAGCGAGAATTATTTGTAACTCTGAACGTGTTTCTTATTTTTATCTAGTATACACCTCACAATGATAGCATGTATATATATTATGTATATTCAGTTGCTTAGACATTAATAAATATAAATTTACGCCGCGTATCTTTAATGCGAACTTACGTTAATGATAATGATTTCTGAATCGATTAAGACTTCAAATATCCAATATCGGTACACGTTAAAGAATTTTGGATGCGTATAAGCACGATGCAACTCGAGCTTTTTATCAATGAATGTATGAACGTTATATGTGTGTATACACACACACACATACACACACACATGTATATATTGTATTCTAAATGTGACAAAAACAATCAGTCAGTGGCAAAATACGAATAATTTTGCGAGAAGAATGAAAACAAATGTGTGCCTGTGTGTGTGTGTGTGTGTGTGTGCGTGTGTCAACTGAGAGTGAAATTGGAAACGTTCGCCAAGCTATAGTCATTGCACGTGACTATATTCTCGACGCATGCAAAGACCGACAACGGATCGCATAACGTTCAAAATACATCGAATTACGAAAAAACTGATAAAATCGATTAATGATGTAATTTCCATTTGAGTATAGGCGCCGCGAAGCTCAGTCAAGAAAACACGATGAAAGGATCACTTATCTCTGCGATGCCGTATCGCGATCTAAATTTTCTTCAGGAATGTACGCGATGGTACTTTGAGCAACGATTAGAATTACCGCTTAAGGCAACTTTTGCGCACCCCCGTGACTGCAATAATTTGTTTCTTTTTTCCTTCACTCTTTCTCTTTCTCTCTCTCTTTTAGCTTTAGTTTGTTTTCAATGTTGTACGTACGAGTTTCTTTCAATTTGTCAACAAACGGGATAAAATATGAAAATATAAGAATCTGAGAAGACTTTCCATATCAGAGAGCCTGAGTTACGAATGTTGTTCGGCAGCTATGTATGAAAATTATGGAAAGATCCTTAGGTATTGTGCACACGGTTCCCCTTCGCTTGCTCGAATATCGATGTCAATCATATACGCATCTTCTTTTTCCCTCTTTAGTTAGCGATATGAATTTTCATTGAGAATTCTGCGTGTTAAAAGGTTATCGAATATTTTATAAGCCATTTAGACTTAAAATTTTGCAATGTCGTTTTTCAAATCAATTCAATCATCAAGTGTTGTATGCTTCATAAAAATTTGAAATAATCACAAAATTATGTGTATAATATATACAAATATCCTAATATAATCTCATTTATCATTCAACTTCGCTAGACACTTGTTTAGGACAAAACGCGAAACGCCGCTCCAAATCTTACGAGCGTAAGCCCGCGACATGTGTTTCAAGTAAAGGCACAAGATACGTTATGAAGACTTCAAAGAATGAGTGACTAATAATTAAAATAAATTATCGTTATTTATGTATTTATTTGGAACTCATATTATGGAACTCTGAAAAGCTTGAAAAATTTCGATCTTTCACAACAAAGTTCAATTTAAAACTGCCTTACGCTAATTTCAAGTCTTCATAATCTTTACTGCGTATGTCATTCGCGTACGCGGTCGCAAACGAGAGCCGGTGCACGTAGAATTTGGAGCAGCGCTTCGCGTTTTGCCTTGGAACAAGCCTTCTAACGAAGTCGAATGACAAATGCGAATGACTACTAAAGCGAAGAAATGGTTCTAAAACACAGCCCTAGCGCGTATGACGTATTAAGAAATAGGACCTTCTAAAAAGACCTTTGGCTTCCTTTTCCACGATGGAGCAAAACCGCCGCAGCGCGTCGTCCTGTGAACACGGACACTTCCAAACTTAACAACAATACTAAAATCAGCCGTAGCGCGCATAGACGTGGGACAACCCCACAAATACGATCCCCGGCGCGGCACAGAGCCCGTGCAGAGTCTCCCCCGTTTCGCCATTTCACACGACATGACGAGAGCAGTCTGTGCTAGCACGAATTATCCATGTTATCCAACAGAGAATGCTTCTCTTCTTTTTTCGTCTTTTTGCTTCTTGGCGCCTCGGTTCGTAATTTCGGTTCAAAACACGGCTGCAAAAGAACGAAATTCTTCTATTATCTATCTATGTACAAGTTGCTGTCGATTCTTGTTTGATGAATTTGGCGAGATGATTTGTTCGCATTAATTCGAATTCGAAATAAACGAGCATTCAAATCATTAGAGATTCTCTTGCTTAGACTTCACTCTCAAATTTGATTAGAAATACACACGCGATAAAAATTCTCTGTCGTATCGAATCATTGTTGCGACAAAAAATCGTGTTACAAAATGTTAAACGTTGAAATTTTGAACGTGTTGAAGTGTCAAAACGTTCTTGAAGCTACCGGCGTCTTTGTAGGAAGTCTTTTTTCTTAACCGTCTTTTATTTCAAGTAACAAACATTGTGTTTTAGAACTGCGTGTAAAAAAAACAAATTCATAAAACTATAACTGCTGACATTATCGCAAATAATTGACTGCGTGGGGGTTACAGAGATCGCAGTTTAGCCGATTGATAAATGGGAACGCGGTGGCAAAAACAGATTGTCCTTGGCACGGATCGTTGACATGCACGCGCAATTTCAAATCTACGCATGAACACATTAGCGGCGCTCATTAAAGCAGTCAGAGATAGGATGCACTAACTGTGCTCCGTCTTTAATTCTTTTGAGATAGAAGATTGATTAGTGCTGACCTCTTCCACTGGAAAAGTGATTATTTCGAAATTTTATGATTTTTCTCTTGTAAAGTGAAGCAGAACGATCGAGTGAGATTATAAAAATATTATAATTTTCAAATTACAATAAAATGCTGATTTGCACGATTTGCATGAATTCTTTGTTGACGTAAAGAACACATAAAAATGATGATAAAAGATGATTATGAAGCAAATGTGTACGTAATATAATACAAAGTCTACTGCGCACGTTGGATAAGGCGCATATCGATAAGATTACAATACCTGGCGTTATTGTCAAAGATTTGATAAAAAAAAATTTAATATAATTACTTAAATTATTAATAAATAATTTTAAAAATTATTCCTAATATAATACTAGTGCAATACTGCTCTGACAGAACCGCCGCACTTTCAAAAATTATTTCAGTGAGGCATTTACTATACGTTAATGACGAAAAATTTCATTTTCGCAAGGCAAACATATAAAATAATTAAAAAACTTATATTCATAAGATAAAAACTACTTTCATATCTTTAAGCAACAAGCCATGGTCCCGAATGAAAGCACTAAGTTCTGAGAAACAAATAATTCGACTATACACCTTTAGATTGAAAGAATTTACACGCGTGAGATTCATGAGATTCAAATCACACGACTGATTGTTCAGCTCTTGTCAATTGTTGAAATGAAATGAAATGAAGTTTCTCTCGGTAAGTAAACGTAAACTCATCGCGTGTAAGCGACGATTGAATGCGAAAAATCATCTTTCGTTCAAGGCAAAGCGCGGGGATGTGCCGCTCCATTTAGCGAGAGACGCTGACGGGACAAGCGCTATCAATTTTCGTGCGGTTTAAGTGGCATTTCACTCACAGTTTCGCAGATATTCATGTTGCAGCAATTCTCTATGGTAATTTCGCACTGATTATCCGGTATCTGCGGCCGGGATGTGAGCTGCGTCACGCCCTTACCAACCACGTAGCGCTTCTTAATGCGCGGCCGCCTTCGCAATTTGTTCACGTAGTAACTGAGCACGACGGTCGTTAGCAGGAACAGTCCGGTGAGGGCTACGAATATTGGCAGTATCGTAGAGTTTTCCAGGCCCGCACTGATGATCCTTTCGGCCGTTCGATTAGCGTCCGTGCATCTATTCATACAAGACGATCGATATTTGCGTATTGCGTTTAGGCACACTCAAAAAACGTATATTTTCTTCGAGTCCCGTAATAATCTATTGTAAATTGATATTAGTTTAATACTTTTCAAGTTGCGGTAGAATTAAGTTTCAAAAGCGTGCAAAAAAGTCAATTCGAAGCTTAAAATTTTGAAAATGTAGAATATTCCAAGCTAAGAATAGAAAAGACAGCATCCGCAGAATGATAAAATCTCGTTCTTGCGAAGAAACATTTACGTACCTGCAAGGTGCTTCGCTGAACGACTCGACGCGATTAGTCACGTTCGCGACCTGCACGATGCTGCTCAGCTCCTCACATCGGGTTCCTTTGGAATATTTACAGTCGCAATACGGTTTTCCATTCTGGACAGAGCACTCACCGTCGTGGAGACAGTAACCGTCGCAAATGTTCCTTTCGCATCGGGCGCCACTAAAGTTAGCCTTACATTTACACTCGGGCAGTCCGTGACTGTTTATAGTGCAAGTATTACCGTGAAGACAGTAATTGTAGCAGTGAGAAATTTCGCAAAAGTATCCGTAGAACCTGCAAAGATTATAAGAGTTCTCGAACTGCTATAACTACACAGAAATATCTAGTTGAAAACTCAGATTAAAAATTATATTTAAAAATTAGATTAAAACTTGCATCAGAATGAATAAACGTATACAATTTTATAGAACTTGATGTGAAATTATTCGAGTCTCTTCTTGAAAAATAATTGAATTTACATTTGACTGTAACCGAAGTGCGCTGCAGCCTCCACTTTTACTAATGTCGGATTTACGTTTGGCAATATCTACTTGAGCAGTTTACAGTTTCATTAAACATTTCCTCACCCTAGCTTGCATTGGCACGTGCCATCTGTTTTGCGTTTGCCGTTGTTCAGGCAGTAGTTGGAGCACTCGGTGGTCAAATCCGTTGTCTCCTTTTTGATAGGTGGTATCTTCGTTCCGTGAATTGATTTCGTCTCCATTCTTGTAGTTGGCTCCGTCCCCATTCCGGTAGTTGGCTGAGTCTCCATTCCGATAGTCGATTGTTTCTCCGTTACGACGATGGCTGGATCGCTAGACCGCTCGGTTGTCGTTCGAAGAGGTTCGTTCCTTTGTTCCGGGAATTTCGTCCTCTTCTCCATCTGCGAAAAGATCGCCGCGCAATTGTTCTCTTCGTTGTCGCGCGTAACGATGCCGGCTGGATGAATAGGGTCATACGACGCGAACTTGACTGGTGTGATTCGGCCGTTGCCGTTCTTCGGGATAGTCCATACCGCCCTCTCTATCCAGTCGGACCAGTACACCGACTCATTGTCCACCGCCAGGTGAGCCGGCTGATGGTGGCTGCTGTCGATCAGCACCTCCCGCTCGCTGCCGTCCAGGTTGCTACGCTCGATCTTGAAGTCATTCCCCTGGGAGTCGTCGCTCCAGTACAACTTCTGCTCCGCATGATCGATCGCTAATGCCAGCGGTTGATATAGGCCAGTATTGACGATAGTCGTTCGATCCTTTCCGTCGAGTGTAGAAGACTCGATAGTGGGCTTCTGGAGATTGTTGTTCGTCCAGTATATGCGTCTGTAGAAGATCGTTCATTATTGCCAGTTATCTGTTTCTTTTTTTCCGACGAAAATTTGGGTGTCGCTAGTTTGAGCTTGTCAGATGAGAAATTCGAATGGTTTGAAATGTCGAAAAATATTCAATATGAAAAAGAAATAATAAATTTTTGTTTCTTTCTATTCTTTTTCAATATAAATCTCTATATTGTCTAACTTTGTTTTTTTGCCGATTTACGTAAATTCAGATTTAAATTGCTCGAGCATGCAAAATTTAAGCTAAGGCCTTGAGAGATCCGAAGAATTTTGAATTTAACCAGAAAATTCGAACTGTTCAATCACTGAAAAAATTTGAGTGATAATGCAAAGCAAAGCGCATTTCGTATTAATAATTACGATCATAATAACGATGTGTATAAGTATAACTATAATGATAAAATAGTATAATTGCCTAATTGTGCTTTTAAATATTTAAATATAAGTTTTTTCAATATTACATAAAATATATTCTTTAAAAATAATATTTTAATTTGTTTTTTTCAATAGAAGATACAGGGCTTAGGTATACATTTATTTTTGCCTTTATTTTTGAAAAAAGTTTGAAATTTGCAAAGTAAATTATGCATAAATAAAAGTTTAACTATAGCAGAATGACATTTTTGTATCTTTATGAATGAAGCGTCGCATTCATCAGGAACATCGTAAATATCTTCGCTGCTATAAACATATGAAAAGAAGGCGATTTATTATCATCACATTCATGCGACTTTTCACTTATTTTATCATATCAATAGCAGTAAAAATATTTAAAATGAGACATTTTGCACAACGGTAGAAAAAAAATGCCGAAATGCGTTTTTTTTTTCAGCGAGAAATTTCTTCGACGATGCAAAATAGACAAGCGATCGGAATATTCCAGTGGGAACGCCTCATTTTTCAGGCTCATTTTTAGCTGCGCTTCGGTTTTTCTTTTTTATAAAGTGTCAGCATTTGCTGGCAACGCGAAAGGGACGAATGTACTGTGAATCGCTGCGACAGCTACTTAAGTACACGGGAGATCTGTTGTTGTCTTGCGCTTTGCTTAACTTCGCTTATTCCAAGCTGCATTTAAATATATTGCACATAATAATACTGCTAGTATTTCTATTTTGCACGGTATTTGCGTGACACATTCGTGCGACCGAGAATACTAATTAATTTGGTTTCCAAATGAAAAAACAAGATTCCAAATATAACAAAGTTGATGGAGACTTTACGTCAGAGCTTCGGAATATCTTTTACAGATCTCTCGATATTTTTATGATTATCAATTCTATTTTTTTCTCTTCTTTCATTGATGATTATTCGAGGCATTCCTCGATTACGCAAAAGAAAGGAGAAGTCTCCTTGATGTGAAACATCGTGAGTATTAACAAACCTGTTACACGCGTCGATGGCAATGTCGCGTGGACTGGCATCGGTGAATTGATGCATAACGATAGGCGTACTCGATTCACCGTTTAACGACATTTTCACGATGATGTTCTGTTTAATGTCGGTCCAAAACAAAGTGTTCGATGATTTGTCGAAAGCGATCCCGAGGATGTGCATCTCGCTGTCTTCTACGCATATGCAAATCCGATTATGTAATATCAATATTCATCAAACATTTCTCATATGCTGTATTATCGATATTTTATTACACGATAAACGCGATTTATCTCGATTGCTTTCCGCGAGAGATTTCCAAACGCAATGATATTCTAGCAGAAGATTATGTTCTTTTTGAGAAAAGGTGTGCCGAAAGTTCCTCGATATTGGAAATTATTAATGATGATGTTGGACGCGAGAACGTAGAATTTCTTCGACATATGATATATAAATAACATTTGATGTATATATAAAAATATATATAAAATAAGTTTCCGTTAATAAAACTGATTTAATTGCATCAATGCGTCTATAAATACGTTAAAAGCGTCGCGAGAAGTTTGCGGTGCATTTTACAAGTCCACAAAAGAGGTTTTCTAAATGATAAAATATTTGTTGATTGCTTCGATTGCAAAAATCGTTTTCACGTGGATTTCACATTCCTGACATCGTAATATATTTTAATACAATATTATGTGTTTCTATATATTCCAATTAGATTGTACTTTTTTTTTTTAAATTATAATACGAGTTTCAATAAACAAAAAATTATTAGTTAATCAGTAAAGAAAGAAGTTTTTTAAATATTTGATATCGAGAAAATCTGGCAAATACATCACAACAAAATACATAAAAGAAAAAACGTTATTACAAGTCAAACATATTCGATTCTATTTAAATATTGCCTTAAACTGCAAAGATAGAGCGCACAAACGTAGTTGATGGTGCAAAATTAAGTTTTAGTAATCGAAAATTCAAAAATACAAAAATAACATTTTTCAACCCACTTTTAGATTCTTCCATAAAAGCGCAGAAAAAATGATGATTCTTTAAATATTTATATTACAAAATATTATTGATTAAATATCAGAAATTTAAAAGTATTCGTTAAATTTTCTTTAGAAAAGATAGAATTTTTTAAAATTATGTACCTACCTAATAATTATATATCTTATAATTTTAAAAATATAAATGACGAATAATAAAAATATCATGAAATGCTTAAAAAAAATTACAAATTTTTTTTAGAAACTGTATGCTGTTATACTTGCATTTTGCGTTATAAAGGTTTGCAGGATTTCTGTACTTACTTTTAATTAGAGGAGTTGATGTGAAATTCTTCTTTGTAAAAACGTTGAATACAGTTATGTTGCTATTTGGATCAATGTCAGATATATACATCGTTTGAGTGTTGTAATCGTACGTTATTCCATTCAATTCCTTAGCTATTTCGATATTAGCGTGGTTCATTAATGTGCCGTTCTTCGCAAAAAAGTCGATTCCACCGTTGTCGATAACCACGGCCAAATCTGCAAAAAGAACAAAACTCCGATTCAGAATCTGGTCTCAACTGGGTGTTTCAAGTAAAATTAGTATTCTTAGAGAAACGTGAAATAATGTGTTAATAAATAATGGTCGATTAATTGAATTGTGTCGATAAAATAAAAAAAATTATTATTTTTTGTTATAGAGATTCGTGTCATAAAAATTTATTTTGCGAAAGACGTGTTAAAGAGTTACAAAGAGCTCGTTGTCGTAGTATAATCTACACACAGTTATTCTTATCGCTTAACTAGAAAGCAATCTATATCGTAATCCGTGATTTCGATTACGTTATGAAACCAAATGGGCGTTACGAAACCGCAGATAAGAAATATCTCTAATTGCGGCGAAACGGTACTTCCACACCGACGCTATGGTCGCATGGTGCGTCACTTGAAAATCTGTTGCATTTCCTGAGAAATTTAAGTTTCGACCTGTGCGTTAATTAATTTATGCTTTTTTTTACATTTAAAGTATCTTTGCATTTTTCTAATAAATTAAATCAGATAAATATTAATAACATGATGCAATTTGAAATATTGATAAATTTACAAACGTGTACTAATCAAGTAAAGTTTATGAGTAAAGCAATAATTATATATGTACAAAAATCATATATATTTAATTAAATAAAGTTAATTAAAGTTTTTATTTTCGTAAAAAAATTCTTTTTTCTTCGATTTGTATCTGTTTGACATAATTTTGGCTAGTAATAAATTTTTAAATATTTTTGCTTCAATATTGTATAAATGGTCAAATCTAAAATAAATGCAGTTTATAATTAATTTTATTTTTTTAGCTTTAAATATACATACATGTAATTTTGTCGTCGCTTTAATCTTAAATTTTACTCAAATAATATAGTTTATAAATAAATATAATATTACTGTCCAAAATTGTTAACAATTAATTTCTGCATGTTAATTTAAAATTAAAATTTTATTTTAATTATGCTATATTATGGGTTAATTTTCATTATCCGATATAATTTTAAAGTCATAATAAAGCATCAAATAAAATTTTCATATTTATATAACAGTAACAATATAAAAATTTGCCTCGTAATGTAGCAAAGCTGTGATTTATTTAAATCATGATGTAATTAATATAAGATACTTATTAAACCGCGCGCCAATGTAAATGCACCAAAGTTTAAAAGAATACTTAAGAAATCATTAATCTTGTATGAATCATTGATTTTATCTTGTTTATCGAAAGCAGTTAAAAAAGTGCATATTTGACAATTATGTAACGTTAAATGAATACGAGAACAAATTAGCCTCTTCACTTGTGTATCTGTTACTGTAAAAGCGCCAATTTTTGTGAAACCTAGAATTTACATGAAGGACCCCGCACCCTTTTTGTGGGAAAATATCTTTCGGCGGATTTGGCTAATTCTTGCATATGTGTGGTTTCCGTCATTCTGAACAAATGTCGTAATGAGCACAACTTGAGCCTAGTCACTTCCGCGCTACAAGCCCTGAAAAGTCCAGATTTACCATGTAAAGGTTTAGAAATATTCCGGCTCGATATATGTGACTTCTGTCGAATGTGTGCGTGCGCACATAGCCTATACTTTTACGTGTTAAATCTGAATTTTTCAGGGCTTGTAGCGGAAATGACTCATCAAGTTGTGTCCATTAAGACATTTAGACATTTGTCTTCCACGGAAATCCTAAGATTTACCAAGTCATTCTGGAAAAAATCCAAAAACGTTCAAAAAAAGTAGTCTTTGTTTCGAAATTTGATCAGTCAATGCGGAAGGATTTACCAAGACTTGTAATAAAAGTCGAGATCAGCCTTGAAGATTAGCCGTCTGAACACGTATGTGCACATCCGAACGCATCCTTAGTTCGCCTTAGTTCGTTAATTTCAGAATATGACAGTAACTTTTATTTATCAATAGAAAAGTAAAATAAAATAATATTTGTTACGTAAAGTGAAAAAAGCGAAAATTTTCTAAAAAAAAAACAAGCAGTTCACTACAGATGTTTAAAGCGTTATAAAATTCTAAAAATTAATCCTTCCTCTCTTTCTTCCCTCAATTGCCTAAAGCCTGAGATTCGCCAAAATATGAAAAATTTTTTAAATCGACAGATCTAAGGCTGATCCTAAGTGTTTACTTGCAGTAATAATGAAGCTTTTTACCAGAAAATAGTTAATAATCTGTAACGAAAATTTCATAAAGATTAAAGAAGCTGGAAAAGAAGAAATGCGTATTCGTGAGATTATTAAAGAATATCTCTGTGTAAAGGACAAGGATTTATAAAGTACAACTGCCAGGAAAATTCGGCTTTTACAGAAACTATTTATTTAGAATGAGAAATCAAAAAACAGATATACAAGTACAATGATATGTTAATTTATGGTAAGCACTAAGCACGAAGGTTTTGTCCACGTCAAGAATAATGAATGAGATAAGAAACGATAAGAAACGTCAAATGGGATAGTTTCTTAAATGTTCGCTACATCTTGCCGTAAATACACTCGATAAGATATCTCGGCTGCTGTATTTCTACCTGGACAAAGTGTCGTCACACTGCATTACAAAGCAAATTTGTGGCTGCCAGTCAATCAGCAGACGAATTGCGACAGAACGACGCGCACACGCGAGCGCTGTCGGAACTTTTGTCGAGAATGTTCTGACGTCGAATAAAAATTATCGCGTCGTCGTAAAGTATATAAAAATGAGACACATTAAGATATACGAGTGATTGCCTAATTAGGTCTATCCAATGTCCAGAGGAAGTAATCTCTAATTTTTCTTGCGATCTAATCAACAGGAAAATCTTATGATTACGTTCAAATCGGTCAATGGGTGAAACCAAGAATGTTTTTCGCGATCTTGTTTAGTGTTGAATAATTTATCTCTAGCGATTAGTAAAAGGTTTGCGATTATTAGCAGGCGAGAAGCTATGTGTGTCACGATGCTGCAATAATATTTGTTAACATCATTCTCGTCTTCTCTTATACTTTCTAAATTTAAAATAGAACAAAAAAATATGTGTTTTAAAGACAGAAATATATAATCTAGGTTGCTAAAAGAAATTTATTCACAAAGATCTATTTCAGTGCCAAATAAGTGATGTATAATTAATATTTATCTATAACTTGTTAATTATCATTTATTTACACATTAGTTAGAGTTTTCACATATAAACCATTTTCTTCGCTGTCTACTTTAACGGAATATATGATATATTATCTAACTGAAATTAATAACTCAGGTTGTTATTATTTACGCTACCGCGATCAAACAGATGTATTTTTTTTTTGCGCATACCGGTTTTTTCTGATACATTATGAATCGTAGAACATCATAAACATGGGCCGATCCTTGACAAAGTTGATACACAACTTCAATAATTATATAAAAATTATTATTGTATTATTTATGCGATCGAGTAGAATGTCGAGAAGAATATTATAATTTGGCGGAAATATTCTATTAACTGAATTAATCTGTATTAATCGTTTGATCGATTGTTCAAAACTGTGTATCAAAAATTGTGTATTGAACACAAATATCATTAGCGCAAAATATCTACGCTCCAAATTGTAGTAAATTCTTCACATCAAACGAAAATTATTACGAGATAATTACGAGATAATGGCATTTCGAGTATCGCGCCATTGTTGTTTCTCGATTTTTCTGAAGGCTTTTAAATGATGTACTTAAATCAATATTTTTTTCTGCGCAATATCGGCGCTCCCTGAAACGTCATTGCGGTTTTTTTTTTGCATAATTTGCGAACAATCGGAAGTACACGCGGACTTTCTGAAACAAATCATTACGCCGCAATGAGAAAGCAAATTTATGGAAATCAAGTTTGCGCTTTATAATCTTACATTGTTGACTTGTCCACGTGTCGCGACGTTTTAGTCGACTTTGTACGATTTAATATGCGATTATATATACATATAATTTTGCATATGATTTGCACGTCACATGATTCATCACGTATATTAAAACTTCATAGTTGCGACGGAATAAAATAATTTCGTTTTAGTTTCTTTTCGAAATAGTGCAATTTCTCTTTCTACATCTTCTATTTCATATTTATTATTAATATCATCTCAAGAAAATGATTCATAGTTTATTAAATAAAAAGTAAAAAATAAAAAGATATTGTCCATAAAAAATTATTACATTCTATACAAGAGAATATTTAAAATTAAGATGTAAAAAGTGCAAACAGATTAATAAAAGAATTTTGTATAACAAATTTTGTACATTTGTCATTTTTTATTAAATAAATAACTGAATAGACTTAAAAATATATATTGTTTTGTATGATTTTCTTTATAGCAAGACAAAATTAGCTTTCCATTCTCTAATAGTTACGGCAGAGTGCAGAAAATATGTGTAATCGTAAAAACGGATTTTTCGAATGTCAAGTTATCGAACATTACATTATCAAGTCTGTCGTCGTATGTATTTGACCCCACTTATGATTTTTCTGACTTTCGAGATATTGTATAAACATTGATACTCAGATGATGCTGGCAGAAATACTGGCAGAGGGAATTTTAGATTGTGTAATAAATTGCGTCGATCAAATTAGTTTTTCCTCTTTACATAATATTATTATTTTTGTTATTGTGCTCTATGACTCTGATCTTTGACTACTGGCTTTTCCAAAGCGCAAATAGCCAACATTAACACACATTACGCGCGTACTGTGATGTATCGATTATATTCCCGTTATCCGATGCGTATTAATAACGCATCGAGACGGGAACGAATTCTTAGCAACGAATTTTTGCGAGCGTCCAAATTAAATTCTTCTGTGATTTACACGTCACTCTCGTGCCACGTGCGTAAATCAGGAATTAACTGAAGGTGCGGCTTCGTACCTTTTGCTGTATCTTCGCTGCGAACTGATAAGGTCACGCGATCTCGTACGTGCAGTTTGTTCGCTCTGTAAAAACGCGTGCGACGACTGACGCCGCGCGTGCGACCTTAAACGTGACCGTGAAAAATCACCACCGCACCCGAATTTTTACGACCTCCGACGTGACCGCCGGAACGTGCCGGTCCTCTTCGCCGATCTCGCGATCATCACGATTCGCCCGCTCTCGTTTCCCATTGATGTTCGCGTGCGCGCAGCGGTCGTCACCCTTGGCCGGTCCTGACATTCGTTACGTAAAACAGGTGTAAGGATGCGGCGCGACGATTAATCGCGATGAACGGACGATCGGCGAGATTTAACGACGCCACGTTCAGACGTCCATCGTCGCGATGTTTCATTCAACTTTCGAGAGCGCGCGTTTTGGGAGCGAACGCGCGAAAAAACGGCACTTAGCGCGAAAAGTGGCGTACGTGACGAGCGACTGTGGGTGAATGGAGTCGGCGCTGGCGCACCAACACGCGCTTACGAATGCACACGGACAAGCGCACGGACGCGCGAATGCCGGTGTATGCGTACACCGTCCTGACCCCGTGGTCGAGCCATGACACACGGCACGATCGCTGCACTACCGGCGCGGCTTATATCGTTACGATCGCGTTTTCATCTTGCGTATCTCTGTTATATTTCTGTCATAACACTCACCCCAAGACCTGGCGTATGTCGTGACCACGAGGATGAACGGCAGCAGCAGAAGCGGCAGCGTGCTCGGCAGGAGGTGGCGCGTCTCGGCAATAATCATGACTGACGATTAATCGGCATTCGTGCGTGCAAAATGATGTTAACGAGCAAGCGACACGGCGAGATGGTCTGCGGGACGAGACGAATTTCTCTCTTTCACTCACAAACGTACGCGCCAAGAAAAACTTCTCACCACGTCCTTACTCCGCGGCAGCCGTGCGCGAACTGAAACCAACGCACGACTCCCGCGCCGAGATATGCCACGATGCGTCTTAGGCGCCAGTGGGCGGCGATTAACCCTAAAGAGCAGAGTGCTACTTCGAATTTATCGAGTGTCACTTGTTTTTTTTTTTTTTTTTTTTATTTTACCAAATGTCACACAACACTTTAGCTTTCTATCAATGGCATGTTTTAAAAATAGACAGTCAGTTAAATTATAATTGCAAACATATACGAGAAGTGTAAATTTATTTGCTAGCTTTCAACTAATTGACCAAGTTTTTGATCTAATTTATGAAAAAAAATTGTTTTTATAATTATTAATTTTATTCTTCTGTTTTTCCGTCAGGATTTTCGACGATTTTATTATTTATTTAATGTCTGTGTGATTAGCAAATGCAGATTGAGACAATCGGTTCACGAAATGTACATTATAGTAATGTGTTCTTTAGCCGCGCTGCACTCTGAATCAGTCGTATTATTTGCATTGGATCGTAAGGTCACTCTGTAAATTTCCCCGGGTCACGCGCTTTAATCGCTGATTATTCAACTGTCGCACGATTTATTAAAATTAATGCATCCGTGCATTAAGCGCGTGTAATGCCGTGGCAATTTATTGCATTCTAATTTTTGGTAAAAAAAACTGTTACCTCACTGTTGCGTTAGAAACACTTTTTCACACATTTCAATGCAAATCTTGAATTATGGATTCAGTTCTGAGATATATTTATCGTTTGCAAATTTTCTTTTCATTTTTAGCAAGTCACAAGGACTATTACTCGCGATAGAAATTTCAAATGCACTAAACAGCAATCAAATAAGATTACATAATCGTATCGTTGTGTGAACGGAAAAATTCGTAGAACAAATTTACATTTTTTTACATAAACTTTACGTAAAAAATATCGCGTTACTTATTGATTGCTTATTCCCTCAAATTCTGTCGAAGAATTATTTTATTTTCTTAGCCTTCCACAATACACGCGATTCGGAGCAAGAAATGTCAAAGATAGACTTCGAAATCTAGACGTGCGATCGATCGCTACGCCACTGTGCAATCGCGTGCCTTAGATTATGGCACGCGCGCAGCCGACAACGCGCTAATTTTCTTCGCTTCTCCATTCAAACGTGCTGTATTCTTACCTCGGGTCTTTCTATTCAACAGCGAAATACGGAGACGAGAGTTTGTCACGGATTTCGTGCAATTTGTTGAAGTTTCCGCAATACAATAGAATCGATAGGTGATCGTTCATTCCGTTTCAAGACACATTGAAGTGAGTTTCCTCAAGAGATTTCTATCGTATAAAAATTTAGAAGGATGATATGCACTGTTAATTTTGCAGTAACCTTTTAAGCTAAAAAATGGATACTATTATTTTCACTCGATTAAGTGTGTAAGGTATTTTTAATCAAGCGTCCTAAATAATCAAAAATATATTTTTGTAAAACGTCTAATTTTTGCAAATTCAACAACTGGAAAATAAAGTAAAATTCTTTACAAAAACAATTTAAAAAAATTCTTTTAAAACATCTAAATAAGGAATTTAATTTTAAACATTTTTCAAAATAGCACTGTAATGTATTAAACATAAAACTGGAAGTCGCATATTGAAAGCTTTTATGAGACACGTTGTTAAAATCCATCGCTGATAAGCGAATACAGTTCGTGTTCTTATCAAAGTATGCTATACTATCGACGTACGGTTAACCACGTTATCGTCTTGTGTAAAAAAAAGAATTTTTAAAAAAATAGTTACCATATCGATTAAATAATTATAAAATTTAAAAAAATTTTAGAAGTTGAGCATACTTGCAGCTAAAAGAGTTAAAGAATCCGCACAATTAAAGCCTTGACCGTAAACAAGGATTTTTATTTTCAACTCTCAGCAATTTTAAGACAAATTTTGATATTTTTATTAAATAAATCTGCAAATTTTAATAGCATACTGTACAAAGAGACGCGTTACTTTTTTTTAAGTTGTTAAAAAGAAGTTGAAGTTATTCAAAAGAATTTGTATAACGCGTAGAAATAAATAAATCAGATCAACATAATGTACATGCAGAGGGAAAGTTGGGAAAGGGAAAGTTGGCAGGAAGATCGTTTAGTTTGAAAGACTTTTCTCGTAACATGCGTTTTGACACAATAAATATATCCGGAAATAAAAGATAAACCAAGTTAATCTTGCGCGCAAATTACAGATTTCTAAACAAGATAAGACACAAATCAATGCTATCTTGAAATATTTCGCTGTCTTGGAAATTTTGCACACTCATGATAGCAGCAAAGAAAAAAATAAAAGATCAATACTTGTACAATTTCCATTCTTTACTCCTACTTTTATCAATTTCGCTAAATAGACGTAATTCTGAGAGAACATTTGCCAAGTTTGCAAATTTAAAAGACGCTAATTTATACGTACTATTTAAAAAAAAAAATTGTCTTCCTGTAAATGTAATCAAAATGAACGTATCGGGATGTAAACCTTCTTTTGCAGGCATTGGCTAAAGAGACAAGAGGAAAGAATTCAAATTTCCGTGAAGAAGAACTCACGAAATGTGTTATTCAGCCAAGAAGTGGGTTATTCAGAAAAATATACACATCAGTCTCATTTATGGAAGTTTCATTAGCACATTATAAAGCCGGTTGCACGGTCGGGATGTCAGGATGTCCCCGCTCCGAAAAGGCGAGCGATGTCGCTCGCGGGAAAGCAGCTCGCTCGCGGGAAAGCGAGGCGGGAGCGGCCCGGAGCGACGACACCGGGTACTAGAACAGGCACGGCAGGCAGGCAGGCGGTGTGGCGGCGGTGTATATTATTGATCAATAAAAGCGGGCTAGCATGGGCGACCCATGCCGGCGGCGGCGGCGGCTGCGACGGCGGCACGGCGGAGAGGCAGCTGTCATTTCCTCCGCGTTTTTACGTCGCGCGCGCGGATACACGCGCTCGCCGCGGCGCGCGCGGAATCGTGTCCCCGGGTGCCAAGGCAGCGGCGCGCGGACGTCCTCGCGATCCTGCTGTTCGCGCCGCACGATCCCGGCGGTAACGGTCGCGTCGGAGTGCGTGGAAGTGAAGATCGCGCGTTCCCGACAGTAGTCGGGTCGGCCGACGTCGACGACGTGCGCCGTGGAAGCCCCGTTAATACGCGCCACCAGTCTCGAGAGCGCTTACGCCTCGGAAAATACACGCCGCGAAGGGTGAGACGCCGGCGCGGGGGGAGGGGGGTTAATAGTGCGAGAGGGGAACGAGAAAGGAGAGAGTGTGAGAAAGAGAAAGAGAGAGAGAAGGAGCAAACGGCCGGAGGGTGAGCGCGCAGCGGAGAGGGGACGGGGAGAAAGAGAGAGAGAGGAGGGGAGTGAGACGGGGAGAGACCGACGTGCTGGCCGACATGTGTTGTCCGTGCTGAGGGTTCGCATCCCCGACTGTGTGCCCTGACATTCGAGGGTGCGCCTTGACGAAAGGCGAGAGACCGGCTGGCTCTTCGCCGGCGAGGGGGTGGGCGAGAAACGCAGGCGGTGAGAAGGAAAATTTTGTGTCGCCTCCCCCGTGTCATCCTCGGGGCTCTCTCGCCGTCGTCTACGCGGGACCACCGATGCAGACCTTACGGAAAAAAAACAGTCCGTGCAAGTGTGAGTAAAGAGAGTCTGAGAGTTATTGCGCCGCGCCAGATCGCGTTGCGACGCGCGTTGCTTCGTCGTCGCGTGCCGGATTTTTTCGCTGGAATCGAATTTTTTGACCCTTTCTCTCCCCCCCTCCCCCGTCCAACGTTCTCGATGCGAAGTCGGTGTTTCTTGCACCACCCTGTAGATGCATTCAGGGGTGCTTAGAGGCGCCCCGTAATATGGCTTCCTCGTATTTGTGGGACGAAAAACGGCCACGCGTTGCGTTTCGCACAGGAGATAGCTACGCAGTTTGATGACGATACACGCATTTCAGTGCGCGAAGGCCGCGGACGATGAGCCTCGTTAAGCGAATTCGCTGGCGAATTTACTCGTGCGAAAAAGCGGAGGTTTCCCCGTCGTGGAGTTTACCAGTCGAGCACGACCCGCGCGGTCGCACGCGTTCATTGCCAGCAGATGTCGATAACTACCAGTCTCTCGCCGTGCGCGTGTTCGAGATTACTACTGAACAGCGTGAAAACGAGCGATTGTTTCCTTGCACGATTAAATATTAATAGTTTTAATTAGAATTAGAAGAATTTAATTAGAATTCTTAATTAGAGTTAGAAGAACGGTGTGGGAGAAAAGACTTCGTGGAGAGAAAAGAAGTTGGTCAATATTTTTTCAATTCAAAATAAAAATTGTTAATTTGAAGCTCTATATTGCGATTCTTGTATGCTCATTGCATATTTCGAGCTAAGCGATCGACAGTTTTTGTTTACTTGTGGGATTCGAAAGAAATATTACCTGTCAATAGCAGATGAGAACGAAGAAATAGCATTAAATGAATTGCAGAAATGCAAATTATAGTTATTACATACGTAGATAGATCATTTATAGACAGCCATTCAATGAGTCACGTCAGTGACAACAATTTATCATTTCGTATTTGTACCTCGATTCTCTGGCGTCGTTGTATAAATTAATCATGAATCGCAAGTTTCACAATCGCGATTCTTTGTTTCACAAGTGCGTCACACGCAGCATATCCATAAATAAACATGTTAAGTTTGAACGAGTTAAACTCTTCGATCTAACTTTTTTTAGCGAGAATGTCAAGGGAGGGCACGAGAAATTTTCTCAAAATGTCAAAGCTATCTCCGCTACGTTTTTGTCGCTCCATTGTCTCGTGGGTTTCGCAATAAAAATTGTAAAATAAAAACCTCGTGAGATACATACGTGGATGAGTATGCGATGCAGGACGCATCTGGCGCGGAAAGAGCGAGAAAGGAGTCCAAAGCGCATCTCAAATGATCTCAAAGGAGGCTCGATAAAAAGCCTCGATAAATCAAACGAACGTATATATACTTTCGAGTGCTGACAGTTGGCATTCTCCACTCGAAGCCGACAAGTGCATTTGAACAAATCCAACCTTCGGTCATTAAAATCACAGGGGCAATGAACAGCCTGCTGAGAGAAAAAACAGAGTCATGATAGATCGCTGCCTTTCATTTCTCTACACTTTCTCTGTACTGGGTTAGATTTTTTATACATTTATCATACCTTTGTTTAGCTACATCTTCCTGAAAGACTCGCGCAGCAAATACACTACCTCTCGAAAATTGAACCAATTAAACTTGACATTTTTCCGATCATTTTGCGGTACGAGTGAAGTATTCTAACCTTACATGCCGTTTAACCTATAAACTCGCGCCGGCCGGCGGGGACTTTTCGTGTCTTTACGCCGCCGTACTGAAAAGAATAACTTTATTTCTGCGATTAATCGAGGATGTTTCGCAAAATAATTATCCGAAATCAAGAGATACATTGCATATATCTGTCAGAAGCGTTAGATTCTCGGCTTTCGAATTCTCAGTACACTATTTTGCGCGATAATATTGACAACTACATCGACCCGCGGCAACGCATCCCGAGTAATCCCGATGCAAGACGAAACCGGTCGACGGTCGACGAGACGACCTTGCCAAGCACTAGTAGGGACAGTTTTACTACTGATCAGCTGGCCGGCTGATCGTAGTACCGTTATAGTTACGTAACACGTTATGCATGGCACACGGATGCACTAACATACATATAAGCACTTTGAATTTTCAAAATGCTGTAACTCGACGAAAAATTGACATAGCGGCATGCGGCAAAAACGAATCTTTTGTATTTCACATTTCGCAGATATCTATGCTAACTGTGCATGTTATCATGATATGTATTTATATCGCAATAATAAGGCGCATAGTCACTTCAGTTTACATTGTGCAAAGTCAAATAATGATCCGTAAAATATAAAGATTTAAGGTTTGATAATTATAGAATATGTTTTGCGCTGTTAGACAAATTCGTAGCTCCACCGAAATAGTATATATTTATAAATAATGATATTCACCGATAAATTTTAATGAAAGAATTATATCTAAATAAATTATAGTGCTATATACTTTTGATAAAGTATAATTATTCTCGAGCCATAATAACATTTACATTTAATACTTAAGCTACGCACTACAGTTCATTCATTATAACTTGCACTAATTACTTTTTGTTGATCATACCAAAGCAACAAAGTTATAACGACGCGTGTAAACTCTCGCGTTTGGTACTGCTTCAAATGTATTTATCTGCTGCGCATTGCATATTAATTCGTTTGCCGAATGCAGGCGTTTTCAAAACGGAAGCTACAAATGACATGCATTATTATCGTAAGCTGTAAATAGATATCAAGCCAATTATTGGCTTCCGTTCCGAGCCATTAATTTTAACGCCGGTACTCACTGGGAGAGATCGTTCTCGCGGGTCACTCGAGCGGGGGTCACTTGAGCGGGGGTTCTTTCATTTTACGGTCCCGCCGGTCAAATTGGTTGTACGACCGATCGATATCGGTTTAATGCACGCGGACCTATCGCTGTCGGATCGCTTCTCGGATCCCCCTCGTGGTTTTGAATACGATAATTCGATCTCGCCCCCTCACGCGAGAATAAAACGGGGCCCACACGTCGCGATGTTACAATGATCGCCTCTCCTTCATGCTGGTAGGCTTTTTTCGCATCACTTCCGCAACGATTCACTCTTTCTCTGCCAAATGAGAATGATTTCGTAGAGAAAACGACTTTAAACTCATTGGAATTCTTACAAAAAAAAAAAAGAAAAAAAAACTCCACGACGTCTTTTTGACCAGATCGTGGATTTTTGAAATCTTCTGATTTCTTTAAAATAAGTATACTTCGATTTTGTTTCAATCTGGCACGCAGGCTACTTTCTAACGAAGTGGAGAAATCTTGGAAGTATGTTTTCTATATAAAAAATACACTCATGCTCGTTAGCTGACTGAACCGAAGAGTGCCATTCATAGTTAGCGCGAAGAAAAAATCTATCAGATTTGTTTGAACCTACTGTATAATTTTAGTTTTCATCCGAGAAGTAATATTCATCTCCATCATAAGAAAAAGTAGAATAAATTTGTTTAAATCAAAACAGTATTATTTTTTAATTATTGTTGCCGTTATCATTATTTTATATTAATTTAATTTTTTTTAATATATTTTTATTCACTTATTTAATTTATTATTATTATCATTAATTATTTTAATTCACTCCTTAAAGATTCTGATTCACAGGATGATCGAATGATTCGCACGTTTTGCTTTCAGTCAAGAACGACCCAACCCGCTTTCTTGGGGAGGGCGTGTCGTTCAAGGCAAAACTGATCGGCATTTTGGAGGTATCGGAAGCACGCGGCGATCGGATGTGCCAAGCGGCCTTGGCTGACCTGAAGATGGCGATTCGCGCCGCCGGTGAGCACAAGCAACGAATCGCCGTTCAGGTCAGCATAGACGGGCTTCGTTTGCGGGACGAAAAGACGGGGGTGAGTTGCAAAATTATTTATGCGATTAAATAACCGGATATCGACTTACGGTACCTTACGATTGTACTCTTATTGATGCTCCTTTCTCCTTCCCAGGACTGCCTGTACCACCATCCGGTGCATAAGATATCATTTATTGCTCAAGACATGAGCGATTCGAGAGCTTTCGGATATATTTTCGGATCACCGGATACCGGACACCGGTTCTTCGGCATTAAGACTGATAAGGCGGCGAGTCAAGTAAGTCCCATCTCTTGCGCTGCTTCGAACAGCCTTTTTGAAGACTGCAAAGGAAAAAAACACGTATTAGAAAAAAATACAAAATGATTGAACTCAACTAAAAAAAATCAGTACACTGTCCTCGCGTCTCCACGAATAATTCGCACTCAAATTGAATTTTGAAGAACCGTATCCCAGCAGATCCGCGAAAATCTAATCAGGATGCAAGACACGGGACATAAGAGGGATGGCAGCGATTTGATTTCGCAGCTCGAGGGTTATCGAGGACACGCACGAGCGATTACAGTTCCGCGGGCCGTGCGCGCGCGTTCCTACGTCGCCGTACGCAGTTAAAGTGTGTCACAATTATCGGGGAAACGAGTAGTCACGACACAGGCGGCTGAAGGGGCGGCGGGGAGGATGGGAGTCCTAGAATGATATTTGCCCAATCCGAGAAGCAATATCGACCCCCGGGCGACCATAATCCCGAACGCGTATGTAAATAATTGCATTACGCGGCGTTCGGGCTCGGCCGGCCGGCCGATTAAACCCCGAGTCCGCTCTCTCGATGCCGTCCTCGCCGCGGGAGATTGTTGCCAGATTATCCACGGCTCGCTTCACACACGTTCAAAGGGATCGTGGCGCGCAACTTCTTGATATTCAAATCCACCGTGGCATATATTCCACTTTTGCGCTCGAGCACCGCGCGATTTAACCGTCGAGTAGACGTGTCTCTTTGAACGTTCCTTTCCGCGCCGAAGAGGAGCGTAAATCGCGCACAATTAGTATGTATAATATCCTTATGCGATCGACCACAATCGATATCGTTGTCTCATAGAAACACAATCAAAAGTTTGCGTCCTATAATTTTTACATAAAATCATGTATAATTCTTTTATCGAAAATTGTCGATATTTATTTAGGAATGTACATTGTTTGACAATGAGTTTGTTAGGCGAAAAACAAGTTTATAAATATAATGTTTATAATATTTCGATACTATTTCATCGTATTGGACAACTAATATCTGTGTGATTTATTGAGGGAATGCAGGGATATTTTTCTAACAAAGATATTTGCTTGTATGTTTTCCCATTTGTCTTGAACAAAATAATTCTGTTTTTAGCGCGACGGTTTTATTCGCGTAGCGTATTATCGCGTAACTTTTCGCAAGACGTGAACATTAGATGCAGCACGACGCATAGAAGTTCACGATGGCTAATTGACCGTGCTAAATCGAGGAATATATTTAACTCTGTTACGCGGAGCTGCGTAGACTTTCGCTATCAATCGCGAAGCACAATTGCCAGGCCCCTCAACTCGCGCAATTCAATAGCGACGATTATCGCCGCGAAAATGTAATCAGTTGCGGGGGGGGAAGCTCGCGCGACAGGTGGCAAATTAATTCAACAACCTTACGCCTTCATTCAATTTCCAAGTTTAATTTCTGCGCTCGCCTCCCGTAAACGGCTCCGGTTAATCCTCGCCGCGGAATATACAGCGACGACGTGTTTGACGCGTTGCTGGAAGGTTTTAACCGACGTGGAGAATCGTGGCAAACAAAGGGGTGACACGCTACTACTGATGACAGGGGAGGGCGAGGGTGAGAATGAACGATTGGAGCGAGCTTTCGGAAATTACGGTCATCGGACGTGGGTAGCTCCGGACGAGGATTCCTGATTCCTCGATATTTTTCGTTCCCGAAGAGAAGGAAATTGATTCGGAAAATTAACTATCGGCAATTTTCGAGACTCTAAATTAGTTTCCAATAAAAATGTAAGAAAAAATATCCTTTCTGTCTCTCATCAGATAAAATTATCGCAAGCGTGAAGCAAGTATTTTTTGAAAAACTGAACGTTTAAATCTGAATTTTTTTTACAAAAAATATGCGTGAGCAAGAATTGTCGAAAGAATTGTCATATTTCAAGTGTACGGCATAGATAAACATATCGCAATATCCGCTTAAACATATCGCAGAATTAAGATAAATTTGCTTAACAGGTGGTGATAGCGATGCGAGACCTGTTCCAAGTAGTGTTTGAGCTGAAGAAAAAAGAGATCGAGCTGGCGAAGCAGCACATAGAGCAGAATGCCATTAACGCGATTAAATTCCACACTGGCGGTATTTTCGTTGAGCCAGCACCCGACACCAAGGTAAATTCAGTCTCAAAAAACGATAGCTGTATGATGGCTGAATTATTCTCTTTTAGACAAGTCATCTTACTTATACTTCTAATCATTTCTTCATGTTTCTCTTGCCCGTGATACCATTATATACTCACGGTTCTTTAAATACTTTTAAGTCTATTAGCTTTTAAGTATATTAAATACTATTAAGTCTATTAAACTGATCCTTCACATCTTCCTGGAGACAAAATTAGAGAAATCAGATTAGTTGAAGGTTAATTTTAACTGGTATTTATATAAAAATAAATACAAATGTTGGTTACAAACAACTGCATTAATCAATCACAGTTAATATAACTCTCTATTTTTATTTCCAACGTTATTTCTAGCGTAAATCTAGAAAGCAATGGAGAATTGATTAAAATATGATTATTCACAATATTGTTAAAATAAATTCTAATAAAAATAATCATAATTATCAAAAGTTAGACGCATTGCGATTTTTCACAGGGCGCAGCGGGCACCGAGTCCTCGTTTCATCGAATTCGCACGACTAACTGCGAGGTTGACAAGTCCGCCGATCGCAAGAACGAGTCGCAAAGCGGCGTGATCGCAGATTTGCTGGATCTGCAGTTCGAACTGAACTCGCTGCAGCAGGGAATTCATCAGATGGACAAGATCACTCCGGAAAATCCCGTGCCGTCTACAGAAGATATGTTCGAGACCGATCCGTTTGGTGATTCTTTCGCTAATATGAAGGTACGGCTAGTATTTGCAAACAACAATTCGCAACTACATTGTTAAAATTTAAAAAAATTAAGATTAAAATTTTTAAAATTACTAAAATAAAATTACTCTCAATAATAAGAATATTAAAACCAAACTATTTCTCTAATAAATTTAGGTAAACAAATATGTTGATATAAAAAATTTTTTCCAATTAAATTACTTGTTGCTTTATTTCTCTTTGCCTGCTGCAGCTTCAGGACACAGTTCGTCCGATTTTGCCACCACCGCCCTCCTCGACGAAGCGAGGACACTTGGAGCGACAGCACACTGTGCCGGCACCACCTGCATCGAGCTCTTCCAGCCCGGCGACGATAGTCAGTAAAACACCGCCTCCGCAGAGCACGATGCATTGGTTCGACAAGGAAACCGAAAATCTCTTCACCGACAACGAATTGGCGAATCTGAATACGAATTCTACGAAGAAAGAGCAGGAGGACGTAAGTGTCTATTTAAAAAAGGTCTTTGCTCCGCTTTTTCGTCGAATACAATAGTGAATGAATCAAACTGAGCAGAGAGAATTTTTGTGTTAATAAAATTTGAAAGTGTATTCAAATATGTATATAAATGTGTAAATTGATCTTTAATCAGTTGCATTTATCTTTCAGAAACATATATCTAGTGTTAAGATAATGTTATATTTTATATAAAATTATAAAACGAGCACAGATCACCTTTATCGATAGTTTTCTCGACAGTTAAAAATTGTAAACTTGTTGATCATTTTCGAAACAAAACATTTTCACATTTTGTTCGTACGAAAACTTCCTCTGCTGAGATCAATTTGTTCACCACTTCACGTTTTCGAGATTTTACGCGATTGTTCGTATTACAGAGCTCGGTGGAAACTACACCACGCAATACTCAAACGAAGAGTCCGCAGATCGACGTGTTCACGGAACTAGATCCCCTCGGCACCGGTCTGATCAAGCCTTACGTGGACAAGAAGGACTTCTTCCAGCATCTGAAGAACCCGCCGAAGAAGGTCCTCAAAGATCTCGTGTCCACGAGTTCGAGTGACAGCTTTCCGACAAACTTCAACGTCACGACCAGCACGGAAGGCGGGGAGTCGACCAAGCAGAACGAAATGTCGTCGAGGGACAGCGAGGACAGCAACTTCGCCAACTTTGATCGATTCGATGAGAACGAGGCGAGCCAGGCGCCCGTACAGCGGATCGATTCGCCGCCGAAGAAGGAGACCGCGCGAGCGATCCATCATCAGCCGCTCTCGGTATCGTTGCCGCCGGAAGAGACGACGATCAAAGGACAGGTGACGCCAACCACTTCCGCCTCGAGCGGAAGCGCGACGCTTCGCAGCATGGAGCGCGATTCCACGGAATCCGCGCAAGCGATGGTGAAACTGCCGAGCCCGAAGAAGTACCTGCAGTCCGTGCGCAAGCGGGATTTCGACATCGACCTGCCGGCCGGCAAGGCGGCCGCGCAGTCCACCGAGTCCGGCAAGCCGTTTCCGGTGGATTTCACAGCGGCGAACGAGTCGCCGGCGTCGCCGCTGCGCTCCTGCTCGTCGGACGCGAACTCACGCCTGTCCAGCTCGAGCGCGGAGCTCGATCTGGTGCCGGAGCCGCCTCCGCGCGGCGCCGGCAGCGTCCTCATCAATCCGCCGCCGTTGCCACCGAAGAAACAGAGCGTGCGGGGAGGCGCGAGACCGCCGCCGAGGCCACCGCACACGGAGAGCCACTTTCAGTACGATTTTCCGCAGCGCGAGACCTCGCCGTCGCCCACCAGGGTGGCCAGAGACAGAAACAAGAGCCCGCCGAGAGACGCGAAGGGCCATCAGTTCGACGACAATTTCAGTCCACCGCCGCAGATGCCCGCCAGATCCGACTTCGCGGCCGCGACGACCACCGCCGCGTTTGAGGATTCCTTCAGCGCGATGATGCCGCCCGCGACCACGTTGTCGTCGATGACGTTCACAAGCGGCGCCGCCGTCCCGGCGGCCGATTCCAAGCGGACGAAGCCGTCGCTCGACATCACGCTCAGCCAGCTGACGTCGTCCTGGACGAATCTGGACGAGTTGGCGTCCAGCCTCGGCATAACCGTTCAGCAGCTGGCGAGTTTGACGCTGACGCAGCTCACGCAATGCCTGGCGACTCTGTCGGCGAAGGAAGCCGCGGTCGGCGACGCGCAGGAGAGCGCCGATCCGACGACGACGAAGGAGCAAGCGGCGACAGCGTCCAAGTCCGCGATCTCGTCGCTGTCGTCGCTGGCGTCGAAGCCGCTCGAGACGGCGATCGGCTCGAGCTCGACTTCTTCTTTCGTACGCTCGGATTCTTTCAAAGCGAACAATTATGAAGCACCGGAATCGCAGCAGGATCCCGCGTACGACAAGTATGCCGTTTTCCGCGAGCTGTTGGAGATGGAGCAGATGGAGCGGAAGGACGAGACGAAGGCGGAGGAAACGGACGAGGGGGAGGAGGCGCACGACGAAGGCGCGCCGGATCGCGACGCGGCGGAGATTCAATCGGAACTGCGAGCCAGCGAGAGCGCTTCGGACTCTCTCGCCTCGCTCGTGAATCTCACCGTCAAACTGCCGTCCAGGAGCGAGGACCTGTTAAAGGAAGACGCGAAATTTGACGAAACGCTGAATAACTCCCTCGCGAGTTTGACGGAGAGGGAGAGGTCGCTGGATATCGAAGAGAGGGACGCTGAGAAGGAGAGCGAGACGATAGCGGACGCGGACATCACGTCCGACTCGTCCACCGTGCAACAGACAGAGATCGACGCCGAGGACGACACGGAGAGAACGCAGACCATCATGGAAACGGAGGAGAGGGCGGAGAATTCCGAGAGGGGCAGCGACGTCAACGGCACGCTGTCCGACAGAGTCGGCTCGGACATTCTCAACGACGAGACGAACGGCTCGTCCGTGGCGGAGAGGTCCTCCGCGGAGGTGAAATCCTCCACGTCGACGTCGAGCGACCGATACGCCGCTCTGCGCGAGATCATCGGCGAGCCGGAGCCAACGCCGATCCCGAGACGGGACGACGAGGAGACGACCAGTCCCGCGACTCGCGCGTCGCCGGTCATTCAGCCTTCGCAGCAGCAGCAGCAGCAGCAGCAGTCGAGGAGTCTGGCCGAGGTGGAGCTGCTGAATCTGTTCGCCGACAATCTGCCGGCGTCGTCGAGCCCGAATATCGCAGCGAAGAAGGAGCCGAGCACCGATTTGAAAGCCGTGGCGATGGACATCTTCGAGGAGATCAAGATGCTCAACACCGGCACGCATCGCGCGAAGGAGACGAAGCCGCCGCCGTCCACGGGTTTCGAGGACATGTTCTGCCCGTTCGTGGAAACGACGACGCGATCGGACAAGGACGACGGTAAGGAGGACGGCAATTGGGCCAAGTTCGACACCAGCATCTTCGCCTCGTCCGATCGCTCGTCTTGCGAGGGCCAGCCGTCGATAGGCGGCACGTCGCCGTGGTCGCCCGACGGCAAGGACTTTCACCGGGAGGTGCCGTTCAAAGGTGGCGGCGGGTACCGGCACTCAGCCGACAGCGACAACGAATGGAAGGACGAGGAGGAGAGCGAGGAGAGCAACGGTCGGGGGGTGTGCGCGGGGACGGCAGATTCTGGTCGGGCGGGCGGCACGCGAGGTTCGACGCGCCCGGCTTCGAGGATCGGTCGTTCTACGAGAGGGCGAGAAGCGCGACCGCAGCCTCCGCGAGAGGATGGGCAGGAAATCATCCGTACGCCCGTCGGCGTGCCTTGGGCGAAAACCGCCGGTGGAAGCGGCGGCGGCGGCGGCAGCGGCGGCGGCGGCGGCGGCGGCGGCGGTCACCGACCGCGCGATCCGTCGCCGTGGCACGAGGAGGGCCAGTGGGAGGACGAGGGCCCGAGGAGATATCCGTCGCACCGGAAGGTGCAGCCGCCGTACAAGGACGACGACGATCAGTACGAGGCGCACTGGAAGTTGCCGGCCGAAGCCGCCGCCGCCGCAGCGGTGCAACTGGAGTCACGACGTGCCGCACGGCTCGTACTACGACGACGAGCGCAAGCGAAAGCTGATGCTCTGGAACGAGGAGGACCGCTTCAGCAGTCAGGAGAGTATGGGTTACGACGAGGAGGACCGCTGGAGCAGGAGACGGTACGAGAGACGGCGATGGGAGGAGGACGGCAGATTCTGGGGCAGGCGCGGTCCGCCGGATGCCGATTACCCGATGCGGGAGCCGTATTACTATTACCGCGACAGTCGCGAGAGGTCGCACGACTACCCGTCCTGGGACGAGGAGTACGGGCCGGAGCGCCCGGGCGACGACTCGCCGCGGTACAATCCGGCCGGCCGGAAGCGGCACTGGCCGAAGCGGCCGAACAGCGCGAACGACGGTCGCAACAGCGACATGGTGTACGCGGATCCGCGCAAGTTCGGCGGCGGCGGCGGCGGCACATCGAGATCCGAGTGCAGCGACAACGATTCCGATCCGTATCTCCGACCGTCCCAGCGCTCCAGGAGCCGCGAGAGCTACTGGGGCAGCAGCGATCAGGAGTACGACAGTTGGGCGGAGCGGCCGTATTGGTCCGAAGGCCCCGACGCGAAGAGCGAGACGATGCACCGCAAGCGGATCGCCAGACACAAGACGCGACAGGTGGTGGCGCAGAAGACGCAGAGCCCGTTCGAGGACGATTTCGCGCAGAGCGTGGAGCACGCGGACCCGTCGCTGTCCGGCTCGGGCGTGGAGTCGCTGGCGCCGGTGGACGCGCGTGTGCGACCAGAAGCGGCCGATCAGAAGCGAGAGCTGCCTCCCGCGAGTCCTTCGCCGGGCATCCGTGGCTCCAAGGATCATCCCAGGGGCATTCCGGTGAGAGAATACGGCAAACGGTCGAGCTACTTCGAGGACGATCTCACGCCGACGGCGAGCGCGTCCAGCGACGCGTCCGACCGGCCGCGGCTGTCGTCCGATCTGAAGGCCACGCCGGAGGAGCTGCCGTGCGACGTGAAGGACTCGCAGCAGCCCATCGACGGCTTCGTCTCCGAGGACAGCGGCCGCGACTCCTTCTTCAACGGCGACCTCAGGTTCGACGACGACGCGTTCGTCTTCAAGTCCGAGCTGGACGATAACGTGCCGGATCACCGTGCCACCACGTTGCCGCTGAAGAATTCGCGGCAGGGCAAGTACGGGCCCGGGAATAACAATAACAACAACAAGGCTAGAGGCGATCAGTACATCCGGAAGTCGGAGTCGGTGAACATCTTCGCGCGCGAAAGCGACCCGTTCGACGGTGACGATTTCTTCAACTGATTCGCCGCGCAGCGACGAACGGTGGGAGTCGCCAGAAACCCCCCGCGTCGAATACAGTGACACCAATGTGGACTAGATAATTGGGACTCGAATGAAAGAGGAACGGTCAGAGAGAGAGAGAGAGAGAGAGAGAGAGAGAGAGAGAGAGAGAGAGAGAGAGAGAGAGAGAAAGAGAAAGAGAGAGAGAGGACAATTTTTGTTGCGCACTCGGAGAACGTCGGCGGATCGTGGAAAAGAACGGTGGAATCTTCTCGCTACAGCAATACTTAATTTTTTTCGGAACTCAGCTATAGCAATTTTAATAGTAGCAAAATTGAGGGAAGAGCTTCGAACACGGCGGAAGTATTATTATCCACAGTGATATTTTTTTTTGCTGCGCTCGTCTCGCGTCGTGAAATTCTTTTCAAAATCCATTTTCGTCCATCGATTGAGGGAGACCAAGACTCTCCGGAATTCTCATTGTCTTTGAGGCTGAATGCAAGAATAATTAATGTCATTCTACCGTTAGAAGGGCAAGCTGTTGCATAGAAAGCTTTAAACGCGATTCGTCACGAGAGAGCACGTGACTGAAAATAAAGCGATTGCTATTCAGACTTGATTTTCCTCGAATAATTTCTGGCGCAGTTGTTATTGCTCATTATGTAACATTTGTTGTTTTGATCAAAAAGTAACATTAGTTGTTCTTGCGCTATAAGTCACAGATTTATGACCGGAGTTGTGATAAACGCTGTGACACGCGTAATTAATTATTAGAGCGATTCGGCTGCATATCTTTCGTTATCGCCTCGCAGTATTTGTCACAACTTTACTTGAATTGCTCAATGCTAAAAGGACGTAATATCATTTATATTAACAATTTGTATAAATCTATATTCAATTTTACGAAATGCATTTCTCCAATATACAGTATGTAGAAATATAAATAGCTACATTATTTAGTTATTAAATGGATATTTCATGTATTCTATTTAATAATGTGATGACTTGATTTTGAAGCTTTGAATGTTTTATAAAAAAAAAAAAATTGATATAAATTTAATTTAAAAAGTTTTTTTTTTTTTAAGTTGGAAATATGTCCTTTTAACATTAAGCAATTAATTTGTAACTACAACGCTTCGTTGTATTTTATTCTGAATTCATTTAGAATTCTTATGTCCACACTGGCAGAAATAGATTTATTTGATCTTGAAAAAAAAGGTACATCGCATTTGTCTGGAAATTGATAATCGTCTCAATTTTTTTGTGTTTTAAAAGCTCTGACAAAAGTTTTGAAACAGCCATTCCGCAAAGAAACTAGTCACTATTCCAGTGAATCTGTATATAATACTATCGATGTATTAGAATCAATTTGTTGAGAGTGAGAGAGACAGAGAAAAAGATCAGCATAATTTAATAAAACTGTGTATCGCGTAATTGTTAATATCGTTTCATGCATTTATTTATATATTGTGTTAATATATTTACTGCAAAACACAAACGCGGCGGCTTTGTCGTGCGAGTTTGCAGATACATGTGCCGTTTAGTTTTAATTGTCTTAAACGAATGATTCTAGTCACGTATGCGCGTAACCACGTTGCGTTGGCAGTTTCACGAGAGGATAAAACTAATAGCGCGCGTTTTTGGGGAAATCAAAAGATGATTTTTATACATTTTTAACTAGCACGGATCGATTATTTTACATTAGGCGTTCGTATATTATCGGCGACGGTGCGTATTCTTCCGCGCGCTCCCCACATCGATTCGCCGTTCGGTTGTTAGGCCATCGAGAAATTGCTCTTGTGCGTGAGAGACGCGAAGAGTGGTGAAAGTTATGTTTGCACAGACAATTATTATCTTTTAGGTTCCATCGTCGTATCTTTAGCATCTAGTATGCAGAATTGACTCAGGAAGAAAATCGTGCATTATTTTATGCGTTGTTTTGCAAGATCGGATTGGAAAGAAAAACTTTTTTTTAAAAAAGTTAATATTTTTGCTTTTTAAAATTTATATCTTATTATAGATTATCATATTATTTATTACATTTTATTATATTATAATTTTTTCAATAATAAAAATTGCAATATCAAGGCTCCACTGAAAATCATCAATCCAAAAATGGGCGAAAACAAAAATTGCGTTTTAACGAACACATTAATAAAATAATTTAAAACAGCTTTTTATGTCAAACAATGTAATCCTGCTGCATTTTCTCTATCCAATCCGATCTTATGTACAAAGTACAATTTGAATCAGAATTCATTGCGAATCTCCGCTGATGTATTTGCATGATTTTTGTTGATTGAGCATTTTACGCTAGTCCGAATTACAGCGATCACGTCGACACATTTTACACTGTATGTATTTATGTAATAATAGTAGTAAATTATTTATCACCGTTTACTGATTACTCGACACTGTATTGCGAGTATGCGTCAGAATGATAACGACAATACCGCTTTAATGGCAATTCAATTCCCCGTCTCCCCAATTCCCCTGAAAATTTGTTAATACGCCTGATGATCAATTATATATAATCATGCAAATCCACCTCGCTGTTTTTACATACGACTTCTTAAAGGATTGTGTAGATACTTTTACGCAAGACTGCGGCGGTAAGTCCATGGTAAGAAGAAATATTGGCAACACGAAGAGAATCACGTACTTCAAGATTCTTCACGATAATAATTATACTGATTTGATGATTTCGCAGCTTTTAATGCTCAGCATATACTCGAAAGGTTTCACAAGAATCGTTATTTAAGAATGATAATCTTAAATGCGTAATCACAAACCTGAGACGACAATTTGTTTTGCTATAATATGCTATAAAATACGTTGAAATGATAAAACACATTGATAATCTTATTGAATTACTCTAATCCCAAAGAAAAATATAATAAGATTTTCAAAGAGAAGCTATTTTCTGATAAGTGGATAAGATCGATGACAATTAATTTTGCAATGAGTAGACATCTTTTTTTTGGCAATGTTATTTAAATACAGCAAAAATACAATATACCTTTGCTACACGCGAAATTGTTTGTAGGGATTCCTAAATAATTAGCTTTTGTTAAAAGCTGATGAACAAGATAAAATGACGTAAGTATATAATTATGTTTTTACCTTTTACTTTAAAATCGTATTTCTCTTTAATGCTAAAGCTTTGTTACGATTACAACGATTAAAAAGTAATTAAATCAATTTGTAAGAATTAAATTAATTAATTAAATTAATTTCATTGAAAAAAAAAACAAAATTTTAAAAGTAAAATAAAACATTAAAGATTTTTATCGAATACCAAGTATTGTCATTGTGATTAATTTGTCACGTCAGCTTGTTTATTAATAATAAAATCATACAATTCTAGATTATTAATTGAAATCGATACAATATTTTATTTACTTTACAAAAATAAAAAGTAGAAAAATAGGAGAGAAAGATCAAAGATTTCGAATGTTCGTTATTATTTCGCAATTCTTTAATACACGCGTGCTATTTTTTCCAAGATCCTTCAACAAGGCTCTTTTCTGTGTTTAGCAAAATCAAAATGACAAGTACAATAGAAGCGCCGCTTGTAGACGTCATCGTCATCAACGTTCTTAGGCACAATCGGAGCGGGATACATCATCCCTCGGCTCGCGCGCGCTATGCCTCCCCCGTTCCTTGATTCGGCCGCACACAATGCACAATAAAAGAGCATTAGATCGCCGGCTTTGTCGAGAGAGCGCGGCTGCACGACTTCTCTCGCAACAATGGCGCGGCCGCCACTCGGCCGCGGTGCTTGAAACACCTGGCAAACAAGGAAACAATGCGCCGCACGAGCCGCACTTCGACGGGATTTCGCGCATTTGGGGGTGCGCGCACGCTAACAAATTATCACTCCCGCCGCCCCCTCGTCCCTCACCCTCGCCTTTCGTCTTACACGTTTTTCTCGCGCTCTCCACCTTCTTTTCGCTTTCGTTCGATACTCTCAATCGCAAGATTTCGGGGTTTAAAGTAAGAAAATAGTAAAGTTTTAAGTCGTGTAACTTTAAAATAAAAATCCTCTGAATATTCTATAATTATAAAAAAATTGTAGTAAACATATTCAAAAATACATTATTTCACAGAGAAATGTATAGCATATTATTGTAATTTTATTATATAAAATTTTATTCTTAAAAATTGGCAAATCGTAAACTGTAAATTTGATCCTCTGAGTTTTTCAATTTTTAACACTTTTTGTAAAGTTTTTTTAAATTATTTCTTATAATAAAGTCTGTGAGAATCTAATTATATAAAAAATTAATAAATTTTACGTGCAAATTTCGTTAATATTATTTATATTCATTTGTACATATCTCTGTGACGGAAAATCAAAGTAATTTTAATGTCCAGCGTAGGTGGACTTATTGTTAGAACACCAGACCGCTACGCGGAAGGTGACGCACGAGGGAACGAAAAGCTGCAGAACAGGGGACGGAGACGAAGAAGAGAAAATCAACCCGCATGTGCTCGTACGCACTCGAAAACGAAAAGTACTTTCGGCGAGAGACGGGCGCGCGGAGGCGGGAGCTATAAAATGCACCGAGAGCGCAACAAAGAGCGACGACGGCGGCCCTCCTCGGCCAAATGCAACTTTGAAAAGCCACGAGAAATGTTTGTAATTGGGATCGTTGGTTCGCTATGCTCTCCGCGACTCTCCGCGTTCAAGAGAGAGAGAAGCGTGCCCCCTTTTTGCTCGAGAGGGTCCGTGAGCGCTTTTGCAATACGCGTTGATGTTGTATTTCGTTAGAGCGATACGTACAGTCTGTCTACAGGGTGACTCGTAACATAAGATAATTACAAAATTTTTCAGGAAAATAGGAAAATTTCGATAGAATAATTTAGTGCGAAACGTGGCTTTACTATTTAAAAAGTCACTGGGATACGCTTTAAAATATACATTTGTTTAATAGTTGAAAAAAGTAGTAAAATTATTACGAATGATAACAGATAAAAAAATAGTACAGACACACATGTACTATTTATAATCGATAAATTTGCAAATCAGGATTTTTAAGATATCAATGCGTTTTATCTCAATTGCTTTTCCGTTTTCTTTTTACGAACGCAATCATTAATATACTCGTATAGTTTTTATTACGCTGTAATGTTTCGTTATAAATGATCAGTAATATACTTGGCGGTATAAAAGCTGATTATTTAATTATTTTTTAAAAGCAATTAGCGTAATAAAATTGTAATTTAATATTGGTGTTAAATAC